ACTGGGCGTGGGCAGAAGGTTATCAGCTGGACACAATACTGATAACGTAATGTTTAGGGGCATTGATTTACATTACGTTTGTTTTATCAGCAGCAACATCAAGTTCAAGTACAAGTAATTAGGAAGCGATTGAACTGTTTAAAATGTGTACAATTTTTAGTTTTCAGGCGGACTTAATGGATAAAGTACAATTCCACCGTAAAAACAATCGTTTTAATAAAACCAAACTACAAACTAAAAACTAAAAAACGACTGTCAATTTGAAAGCAAACTTCCTGATTGTGCGCGAAACTTTTCACTCGTTATTCTGATTTCGCATGAACATTTAAGAAACGCGACCGTTTCTAAGCCACGTCCCCAGGGCATATCGTCTTATACAATCGCATAGTTCTGCCCACGGCCATTGCGTCGCCTACTCAATTCCTTTCACAATTTCACAGAAATCCTTTGCCATACACCCGCACATTTTGACAGCCATTTGCATTTTAAGTGCTTTTCTCGGTCATTGTTTTATTCTTTGCTTTTTGGCACACACACAGAAATGATATATGAGCGCTAGAGAAACAGAAAGAGTCATAAGCATTACCATTTCCATAACGATAGCCAAATAACCATAAGGCCTAACCGACGTCATTTCATTATGTCATCAATCGGACCAATGAATAGCACTCAAACTGCCGTACTCTGACAGCCCAGTGGCGTTCACATCCTGTGGCCTTCGGACTGAAGGTCAACTTTACCAACGGATATTTACTTTTAATTATACTATACAAGCCATGTTCGATTAAAAACTAAAAAGCCAGGGAAAATGGGCGTTTCGCTAAACTCTATCAAAGCGTTCTCTTTATGTTTCTCTTTACATTTTTGAATTGTTTCATATATACTTAGTAGTTGGGCTGGCCAGACTTTACAATGCTGAGGCAAAGGAAACGTTTTTGGTCTTGTTGGCTGATTATACTTAGGTTTATTTTTCTTTTATATAGAACTTGGCAAATAATTGGGCATCAATTTGACTTTCTTTCTGAAAAGTAAATCCCAAAGAAGCAGTATACTTATTGGTTTTGATTGAATTAACATATTCATGTCGTGCTTAGGAAATTTGTCAAATTTGGGAGCTCTACAAATTTGTGGATAATGCAAACTAACATAAAAAGCCCTTTTAGGGTTCAAATAATTAGGAACATAGAGTTCGCCGGTATTTTAATTATTTGTTTATTTTTTACTGTTTTTTACCAAGAAATCAATTTATGAATGCTATGTTTTTGAGGTATTACTTTATATATTTATACAAATAAAAACTAAATTATCGGCAAGAGTTTGTACCAATTTAAAAAATGCATTATTTGTATGTATAAAAAACTCTATTTTATAATTTATGTTATAGTTGATGGCATAGTTTTTATCCACAGATCCATTATGTCCACAGAATTTCGATGTCTATTTCTACAAACACACACAATAATCTAGCATACCCTTCTAGCCTTGGACAGTTCGTATAAGTTTTGCCCTTTTTGCGGTATTTCGAGGCTTCATACATACATTATTGACATACATTTTATTTTTGTTTAATTGTATTTACTTAGCGCTCACCATTTGCTAGTTTATTGACCAGGGTCAACGGAAGCCAGCTGTCTGCTGTATTATAGGCCACTAGGCTGCTGGAGGGGGGTAGACTCTATGCGTTAATTGCGTCAGCGCCAACGTTGCGTATGAGCGATAAAAAGGCACACGAGATTTTATGATTTCGACTACTTAACACGTTTAATAAATTTGTGCATTTTACTTAAGCGTTAATTTAGTCAAGCATCAAAGACACACTCGCGTACAAAATGTGCTATTAGGAGGGGGGAAAATGGTGTGTAAATTTTTTGTGTTCGCGTACAGTTCAAGGCTAGCATTGGCAAGCAGCTTGGCTGATCAGTTCCAGTACATCTTATGCGTCATAATGCAATTTATTTTGCCTTTGTTGACACTCCAAAGCTGATCAACTTGGCGGCTTGCCAACTAAAGCAAATGTCTTGTATCAAGGCGCCAAGAGCAAAGCAATAACAAATTAGATGGTGCGAAAAATGCTGAGATTATTTATACAGATACCTGCAGTTTTCCCGCTGTTTTCGCTGAAGTGGGAAAACCAATCCAATGGTAAATTACGCCTTTATATTCAAATTGAAGAGCGATGATTTCATTGCTAGAATTTCCCCCATCAACAGTAAATGTGTAAACACGTTAATGAGAGAGTTTTTTCACATACTCGTATACATATAGCTCTGAAAGTATATATTTTTATTATTTGTATTCACTTTTTTGGCCCAAGAATAATCTATTCGATGACGTGCGTACCTCATATATCTACCAAATCGCTCTGTTTGCTTGTATTTACCTGACGGCTACAATGACGTGGTCAGCTATCTTTACATATTTGCCTGCCTGTCCGCCTGTGTTTTATGTCTGTCTGTCTGTCTGGCTTTCGGTCGGTCTATCTATCAGATAGCGCAAACATTGTGCATAATGTTTGTATCGTAGATTGCGCATTACGGGCACTCGTTTGATTTTGTCGGAATTTTTCACACAAACAACTGTGCGATTCCTCGCTGTTTGTTTACAATGATTATTTTGCTATAAAAATAAATGATTATTGTTATTGTAGTGCAGTCGGTTGTGCTATTGTTTTGTTTGGCAAAGTGTTTACATTCGCTTATATACTAAGCTCTCAGATAATGGCAAAAAGAACTAAAGTTCAATACAGTGAATACAATTGTGAAGCAGTAAGAGCGTTAGACTATATAAAAGTATATATTTGTAATTCTGTTATTCTTGTCTGTTACACTATATAAAAGTATGTATTTGTAATTATTTTATTCTTGTCTGAAACCAGGAATAAATGGCTCATTCTTAAAGGATAAGATCGAAATATATGCAGACTTATGCATATGATTTATTATTATATAAAGTTGTCATCGTAATAAATTGAGTATCAGTTTAATTTTATTTACCATTTATATATTTTTAATCTATTCTAAAATTTAAGATAGATAAAAAATTAAAAAAATTTATAGAAGTGTTGATAAAAGTATATAATGAAGAGCGGGACTTGTTTCAAAAAAAAATATATGTAGGAGTTAAACTCTTTTATTTCTGACGGAAGACGACGGATATCAAACCCTTTACTTGAACAAGAGATTTTTTTATACATTACAAATTCCATTAAGTATTATTCATTAAGAGCAGTTGATAAAATGTTAAACAAATCTTTTGGTTCTAAACTCAAAATAATATGTGATAAACAATTAGATCTTTCAAATTATTTTTCTTCATCCTAATCAACAATTTGTTAGATTCATATGAGCACTGTTAATGTCCATTTGGTTTTCTTATAATTATTATCAAATGTAGTAATTAATAGGTTTTAATGTATTTTCGCGCACATCTGGCACTGTTTGAGCGTCTAGACGTCGTCGTTTTTTGCGACTTACACCTTCAACTCTCTCTCTCGCTCTTAACTCTCGCCTCATATGCAGGCTCTTCTTCTTTTGTCGATATTCCTTACATATCAGTTGGGATGCCAAGTCGCTGAAAAAGCAGTCTTGCATCTTTAAAACGACCAACAAGTTGCATCAAAACTCCAGTAGCCCGGCATCATAATCGCATTTAGATTGTACGTATTATATAAAAATCTGCTCATCAATTTCAAGTCGGCTCTGTATGATGTCACCGCCAAGTTTGTGTCCCAATTGTCATGCTTCTCCCTCTTGACATGGCAAAAAGCGAGCGAGAAAGACAAAAAACTAAAAAAAAAAAGCTGTCAACTTTGTTGTGTTTTATCGCATAAACCGAGGCTGACATTTGACAGTGAAACACTTTCATTTAAAATGTTGTCGCCTGCCGAGCGAGACTGCGATGTTCATTGCCCACATTGCGATAATTCAGTTTTGCTCCGGTCCGACAAACGGAAACTTCACCATTTAAAGTATAACATTGCCGTTCGTCACTCCGATAAGTCATGAAGGTGTTTTTTTTTCCTTAGTTTAGAGTACGTTCTGTAATCGTGACACCACACATGCCTAATTATTTTTAAAATAGTCGTGTGTAGTGTTTTGAGGTGAGTGCTGCTGTGGAAGTTAGTCATTGATTATTTGCATAATGCCTCTATATGCTAATAGTATTATCAGTTTGTCATATCACTGAAAAAGTAATTTCCTATTGTCTGTTTCCAAAAAACAAGAACAATATTGTCATTAAATATTTGCAGAACGCCTGCCTATTTTATGAGTAGCAAAATTTATTGAACCCATTATAATGTTGCCATATAATCTCTTTTATTTAGGGTCCTCTTAAAAGGTGAGATCGCTTAAAAGTGGTTGCCCCAGAGCTATGAATCTGCGCCTGCTCAGTAGTTAACTGTATATATATATTTCCCATTAATCTATAGTTTATAAATTATAAAGGCTTTCCAAACAAAGTCTAATGTACGAGTATATGCAAGGCAACTAAAATTGCAAAAGAAAATTAACTTTAATTTTCTCTTACATTAAAACGAAATTTAAACAAAAACTTACACCCTAAACGATAAAAAAAAACAATTTAACATACAATTTATAACTACTATAAAGCACCTGCCTGCATGTTGTAGTGCCCTATTTCTATTTGATGTTACGGAGAGAAGGTAAATTTATGGCCTCATGCACTCAGTTCCGGGCTTTAAATCAAAATTTCACATTTAATAGCACACTTTTGGGCGTGGTGGCATTCAGGCCATAACCAGCCATTCACAATTGTGTGCGCAGTGTCCCAAAGGCTGACATTTTTTTTTGTACTCCTTGGGGAATTTGTTGCGCAATTTTTTGTGCAGCCACTTCAATTTTGAACACGTTGAAAGTGGGTCAGGCATGTAACTTAACTTGCAGTCTTTGATATTTGTTGCAGTTGAAATGGGAGGGAAAAAATTGTTGAGAACGAATTTTAACGATGCCACTAACTCGACATTTTCTCTTCCTTTGCAGGCTTGCTGTGCAGCCAACCTTTATGCGTTGATAATGCGGGTAAGTTACGACTCAAAGCTCTTACTTTGATGCCTGAGGCACAATTACTCGCACTCCCGCGCCGAGGTGCTAAAATACGTCCCAATGGCACTCGGGTTGCAAAAACTCATTAACACTTCAACTATACATATATACGTGTATATACATAAATGTATATGTATGTCACACGCTGAGCTGAGATGAGACGTGTGCCACATCCTTAGCAAGTTGTAAAAATTAAGTTTACACTCTTAATGACAAGCAGCTGTCGAGCTAAAACACTCACCGTCCGCCCACACAAGCACGCACAATCTTGTCTATGCGGCTCACAGTGGTAGTAGTGGTGCCTTAATGAGCCGAGCTGCTGCCATGTATGTTCCCCAGCCGCCTACTGGGCCATAAAGTTAAGTAATGAAAGGACAACTACGATGCCACTGAGGGTCAACTTTCAAGGAAACTTAATGAAAGTTATTCGATTTACTATGCACACTTTCCTCTCTTAATTGCAACGTGTAAAGTGGCTCTAAGTACAGTTGACCCTGACCATAATAAGTTCAGCATCAGAACACCTTCTGGTTAGTTTGTTTAGTTTTCATACATGGTTTACTCTTATTTTTTTCGAGTCTAAACGACCATTTCTTGCCAATCACCAAAGGTCACACATAAGCTGTGCATTTGAAAAACACCCGCCCGGACGGACTATTTTGGCTGGCATGTCAAGCGGCCGCGTTAAGTGGGCCTTCTGCCTTCTGTCATGTGAAAAAGCGCAGCAAAAAAATTTACAAATGCCACTAGGTGGATTAGGGGTTGTGTGATTATAGCGAACACTTTGGCTTATTTCCATCTACTCCTCAAAGTCAAATCCATTAACGCTTCGCTCGTCAAGGTCAATGTCTGGGGCGGCTGTCTCAGTCCGTGACTCAGTCCGTCAAGTGGGTCCGTCGCTCATTCGGAGGCTAAAGAAATCAGTCAAGCAGCTGCTTTTTCAATCAAGACGGCGGTCGTGCAAACACGTGTTGCCCTTTTCTGAACTCTAAGTTTGCTGTTCCTGTTGTTGCGGTTATTGTTGTCGGTACTGTTGTGGTAACTTTTGTAAATTGAGACGCATAAGGTGCCGTGCTCCATGAGCGACAGTTGGCAGTCATGGGGTTAAGCGACGGACTCTAGTGTAAAATGTCAGCTAAGCTTTTTTAAATCCAACAAGGAACCTAATGCCTTTTCTATGAGTTATGTATATCAAAGGCTTCGGATAGAAAAAACGTAACCGTTTCTCTTGTTATGCTTTTTTTTTTAAATTCAATGAAAAACTAAATAATTATCCAAAAATAAATAATAATAGGCATATTTGATTAAAAAGAACTGTATTTGAAATCGTTTTTTACGTTGCGAAAACCAATAGGACTTTCTACCCCTCATTAACTCAGACTTCTTCATTCGAAATATCTCAAAGACGGTCAGAGTAATTTATTTAAACTTTATATAATTAACCAGTTGAATCTCTTTATTGCTAACTCACTCCTTTGTAGATCCTTGTGACGACATTTTAGGACTACCCGCTTTTAAAAACCAGTTCTCATATAAAATCTAAAAAATAACATGCTGTTCAACATATTCGAAAGAGAAGGGGGGGCGAGTTATTTATTTGATAATTCAGTTTATAAATGATTTTGTAAAACAATACGAGTTTGACACGAATTAGAATTGGGATAGTTTAGATAGACAATCTTAAACAACAAATTTATCCCAAAACTTTAGTTACTTCTACTTCTTAAACACGACAGTGTTTGTTCTTTCAAAAGTTTGAAAGTTAAAGTTAGATGTTGGGAAGGATTGGGCTTAGCCTAATACAAGTTTTAACTGCTGGGTCATCTTTGCGTATCTTCCTAAATATCTTTTCTTTCCTTATGAGGATTTGTCAGCAAGTAGAATTTAATTTACAATTTGTTTGTGGTCCCCACTTTTTATTCATTTATTTTTCGAAGCTGGCTTTTGCCAAAGGGGAAAATTGTATAATTATGTATTTTGGACATATGCTAAAACCCATATTTGAATTGCTTGCACAATAAGATTTAGTATTTTGTAGATTATTTACTAATATCTTCAAAAAACACAAACACAACATATGCTATTTCTTGTTTCAAAAGCACGCCATTTTCCAAAAGGGGAACATTTTATAAAATAAAATCATCCCATGTTCGAAATTAAAAAATTATAATCATATATGTTGGTTCCACGTTCAACTTGAAATGTTAGCTTCTGTATTCTGCAGATTATTTCTTTTCATTTTTAGCACTTCAGACACTAAGTAAACATTCTCTGCTCTTTTGTGATGTTGTCTAAAACTAAAATATGGTTGCCGAACCACATGACCTGTTGCTACACTATGTATGTATTTAAAGAAAACATTTTACTCCTCACTTGCACCATCGACTTATATGAAGATGTGATTCCCACCCGGAGGTCTTTCTCGTTATGTCTGTGCGTTAATCGCAGCATTCGCATCTCTTCACACACCATTTTGTGATATTTACGATCATTTTCGTTTTATTTCCCCCCTTCTGTATTGATGAAGCTATTTGTTGGCCCTGGGCTTATCTTATAGGCAGACAGACAGACACAGGCACAGACACTCGACCGACACTTTGCATGCTGTGGTGGCATTTGATGCCGAAATGCGCCACACACACAAGCATATGTCGGCATATGTGCTTCAGGCCAAGTGCCGTAGTGCCGTTATGTTTTTGGTTTTACACATCATTAGCGCCTAAATATTTTTAGGCTCGATGTGAGAGAGGAAAGGAGATCATCATGTCAAGCATAAAATATAATGAAAGCGAAGTCAGTGCAAAATCATCAGACATGTGTGCAGCAGCTGCAGTTTTCGTTTTTTATTTTATACGGGCATGGTTAACGGAAACACAACTTATAAGTTCACTGAACACTTGCCACAACGACAACGACGAGGGCGGTTTGGTAGATCTGTAAAAGATTAAAGAGTTTTCCATATCACTGAAGCTGTTGATAACAAGAGGTTTATGATGCAAGTAAATACATCTTATTTAATCAGTACTAAAAGCACTGAAATTAGTGTATTGCCTTGATTGCCTTTGCTTTGCTTTCTTAATAGTATATCTTTGTTGATTAATAACTGGCGTCAGTATGATTTATTTTAGAAATCTTTAAAGACAAGCTAACAAGGAACAACCTAAATACATTATTCATCACTGAATGGTATACAATAATTGACGATTAGATTTAACTTCAGTACAGATAACCTGCAAATAAACTGACCTTAATGCTTTGTTCAAACAGGCAAACAAGTTTGGGTGAAAATTATTTGCTTGTCCGACCTTAATCTCGAAAACTCTACTTATTTTGTAATATAATAAGCAAACTAATCTTAAGGGTTATTCATCAAACAAGTGAGCTTCCCAAAAGTTGTGATTCTTTTGCTCAGTTTTCCGTGCTACTAAAATAATTTAAAAGAATATTTTAGAAACTATATATTGCCTTTATTTTTTTATAAATTCGGGTTTCAATTCTGACTTCCATTCGTTGTCCTAGAAAGGGAACTTGCCTAGGGGAAGTGTTTATTTAAGAATATATTAATAATATATTCTAACTTATTAATAAAATTAATAATTCCTTCTTCGCAGTAAACCCTACATAAATCCATAAAATATTATTTATCTCCAGTGCCTTCCAATTCAATTTACTTCAACTTTTTGTTCCATTCTCGCATACCCTCACAGCTCAAATACCGAGCCATTCATTTCGCTCGACTCTGTGACAATTTTCGCTGTTTCTTATCGAATTGTGCCCATCTGAGCAATCAAAAGATATGCGCGCGCCATCTGTGTTGGTGTGGGACGTGATTTTGGGCCAGTTCGCTGTATTGGTCAGCCAATATAGAGACCCACTACATTATTTTGCATATGCCAGAGTTCAGCGGAACGAAAAGCACAAAATATTTTAAGTATAACACTACAATTTATTGTGGGAATGCTGCTGTTGCCCCAAAGTTTAGATCCACAACGTCATAGAACATGCAAGACTTGGGCGTGATTGCAAAACACTGTAGATAGAAAAGGGAACGGGAATTGTAATAAAAAAGAACACGAAACGTGTGTAGAGGATGTGCCAAAAGCAAAACAACTACAAGTATTAGCTGTGAAAAATGCAATCCAATGTACATAATGTGGTGTGCATTCTGTAAGATACTCAGCTACTTTGGCCAGCAACAGACGTCGGTGTGTCGTGTCTGCCTTATAATCTGATGGCGCCGCTTGTCGATATTTGCTGCCAAGCTCTTATAGGCGGCCAGTACTGATGTAAACCGACATAGACGGGTTAGGTCTGCTAGCATATTCTATTAAAATCATGTTCTTTGCCATTTACAGTGCGGCATATTTTGCCAAGAATTTTGAATTCGAATTTCTTCTCTTTCGTTTCCTCTCTGGGGATTTTCTTGGCGTCGGTGCTGCGTCATTGTTAATAAATGAAATCATTGCGGCCAGCATTAGGGAAAGACAAGGTAAAGGTCAAGTTGACATAACCAATGGCAAATTTTACTTGTGGCATGGCATTGTTGGCTTTTGCTTCGCATTCGCCAGGGCTTGGTTTGTTTATTAATTTGATGCGTATGTGCGTTCATTTTTAGGTGCGTTCCTCAATTGAATTTATTAATTCGATTCGATTCGATCATCAATTTATCAAGCATTTTGGCGACAATACATTTTCGGTCTTTTAAATTTCCTATAACCATTTCAGAACTTTTATCAACTTTAACTATTTCGATAAGCTTTACATTCTTACCTTATTTATTGAAAGAAACAAGTATCACAGATTGCTATTGATGATATCACAGCAAATCGACACAGATATCTGTAAGATTCTTTACACAAATAAGAATCAAATTTGTGAAAGAAATTGTTCAGCGCTGGTTCAGGTCATATCTCATAAAGTATATAGACTATAATGTTGAAATGTACATAGGCAGTTTATGTGAAGTTAGAACATTTGAAGACGGCGTTGGTTCAGAACTGCTTCTAAAACGATTCAATAGTTGCTCTAGACCTAGATGAATGTGGTCTTAAATCAGTATGAGGTTCAAAAATAGTTCTCCACACAAAAAATAAATAAAGAAATGCGAAAATCATATCTTCTTACAGTGCATTAATGGCGAAATACTCTAATATTTGAGTATATGTGTAATATATATTTGCTCTAAACTTGAATATTTTTGTAAGCATCTTTCTATCATTTTCGAAATTGTTACCACCCCTCAATGTTGAGATACTTCTGAGCAATTTTATTGGTAACTTAAATAAAATATTAGTTAACTTAAGAAACTCGCAGTTGAATTATTATAGATTTTTTAAATCAAATAATATATTTGTATACACAAATGCAAAAGTTTGAAAACCAATTGAAAGTTGGAATGATTTAGCAGTTTATGGCAGGAATTTTATATATCTATGTAGTCAGTTGACATTTCAATCAATTACTTAGTTGTCGTTGTTTTGATAAAGGTATTGACTTGACTTATGTGTGTAATGCGACATATTTCAATAATTCCTTGTGCGCCCATTCACTCCACGTCCGTCAATTTGTTAGCACCTTATGCCCAACCTTAATTTAGCATTTGCAATCTACTCTCTGGGACCTTCCATAATCAACTTGAGCAAACTCATTAAAAAGCCATCAAGACAAAGGCCGAAGCGGCTGCCTAACTTTGCCTCTTCCAGCTCACAAAGAAACCCATTCCCGCTTTAATGAAAAGGATAACAACAGCAACATTGTGCAAGCTTTGTGGTTTTTGTGTTTCTGTTAAAACCCTAAGCAGTCCTTGGCATACACACCAACGCACACCGTTTCTTAAAAAATAAAACAAACCAGTGCTTAAGTCAATCAGTTTCTTAGTCAAAGGGTCTTTAGTCGATTTAGTCAACCACAGGATCCATTCAATTAGTGGGCCAGGCTACTTTTAGCTTCACATGTCAGTAGGTAATTTCTTCGGCTCGTTTGCTGTGCACGGAAATCGCCTCGAGTTGCAGCCATTTTAAAATTGTTTGTTGGCTACCATCCTTTGTGGGTCAGTGAGGGTCTTGGTTTTTGGGTGCGGTTGCCTTTGCGGTTTCGTTTGCGTGTTTAATGTGGCATCAAGGAACCAACAAGCTGAGCCAGCAACCAGGCGAGTAAGTAACTGAATAACAAAAACAAAAATAGTTTAAACTGATTTTTGTGTTACATTCTGGGCAAGGCGGCGCCCCACCCAAGAAGCCATTTGTCCTCCACATAACTGGGTTAATGGTTTGCTTATGATTGTGTTTGCTCGACTGGGCTTTGCATTGATAAAAAGGACTCAAATGGGCATGTTTTACGTAATTGTGCAGACACGGATTTGTAATAAGAATATAATTTTTTTAAAGCAAACCCCAAGTCAATAATGAGATCAATATTCTATATAAGTAATGGCATGAGGTCTCAGTATTCTCGAGTGGCAAAATCGTTTTATAGTATGACTCTACTTATTTACTTACTCCAATGAAATGAAATATTTATTCATAATCACTTTTAATTTTATTATGTAAGGAAATTAAATTTTTGTGGCTAGTGCATTTAATTATAAAAATATATCCTGTCATACACAACTAATAGATGTGCAGTAAAAATGATTTTCAAATGGTTTGCCATCATTCATTCAGCCAGTAACTGATTCATTTAGATACGGAGCACAAAAATGTCCACAGAAACGTTTCATTTGGATATAAAAATTCAAGCCACAAATGAGAACAAAGGCTTTTGTAAATAGGAGTAGGCCAAATAATAATCGTTTGAGACAATTTTCAAACATTTCTCTTCAACTCTGAAATATGATGCGGCCATTTACTTGAATAACTATGAGCTTTCGTAAGAAGCGTTAACAAAGTACAGAAAAAGTAAAATCAGGATGGAAAAAGAATATAAACGGAGGACGAATAGTATTAGGACGCCCAACTCTGTATACGGAAACTTCATGCAATATCTAATTCAGCAGTTAAATCCCATATTTATTTATTCTCAGATTTAATGAAATATCGTAAAATAAATCAAGTATGCTTTTGTAGTAGCTGTGGTTTTCCCCAATTCTTTAAAATTGTTCGCAATTACTGCACTAACTTAACCACGAACTTGATTAGTCACCACAATTTAAAGAACTGCCAACAAACAGCTGAGATGCAAACAAAACGTAAGAAAAGATGTTTTTGCTTCTAGTCTCGTCGTCGTGGGTGTCAACAAAATTTTTGCGCATGCTAGCTGTCTGACTAATGCGTCACAGATTTGCAAAAATAAAAATATATCTATATATACACGTATAAAAAACGAAAATTCGACATCAATGCATGCTAAATTATTTAGACAACATTTGCATAGTGAGAAAATTGTTCGGCCTTGCAAGTACAAGTTGAGGGATGAGCAGTTTTTACACACAATTTACTTTGTTGCGTGCTGTCCCTAATCACTCGAGGGTTGTGGGAAAATTGGATGTATAAATGAGTGATTTGGCGTCGCCAATTGACGCCAACGCCAAACCAAGTAGAGCTATGTGCTGTCATGGTGTATAATTTTAGACGCCCAGGACGAAAAATGAAAGGCACGCAAAAAAACGATGATTAGTCGCTGGTAATTATGAGTGGAAGGAGGTTATTTATGAGTAACAATGATTGACTGCGGCAGAAAGACAGGATATCCAATAAAAGATGTGGAGAATACTTCAGAACTCTTCAACGGAAATAATATAATTGAACGGTGCATATTCACTGAAATTTTGTTTGTTCTGTTTAAATGGACCTTCAAGTCAATGCTGAATAATACTTAGTCCTCTATTTTTCTTGATAGTTAGCATAGATCGGTAGCACATATTCCCTTAGAACAATCGAATCAGACACTGCTACTACGTTTCGTTTAAACAACAATTTTATCTTGCGTTTATTTGCCTGCACACACAATTTCAACTCAGATATTTTCTAATTTCCTTGCCCGTTATACGATTTTTAAAAAACATTTCTCCTCTTCGCTTAACTTTACTTTCAGCGGCTGCCCGCGCGGAACGTTGAGGTCACACTTAAACGTTAACGATGGCATTCAAAAACTAAAAAAAAGAAGAAAAAGAAATGTACTGATAAGAAACACAGTTAAACAAATACAATAAGGAAAAAACACATTACACAACAGCAAAGGCAAAGCACAGGGTGTTTTTGGTGAAGTAATCGAGTGGAAGCTGCTGGTTCAACTTTATTCCATTGAGGATTATCCAGAAGCTAAGCGTCGCAGTCAACGTCAAAAGCTGGAGGGCGGTGCCCAGCAACCGCCTCAAATCCAACTATTTAATCCTTTTCCCCACGCGGTTGGAAAAGTCGCCCGATCACGGATTGTAGCACACAAATTTATGACACTACTCGGGCCTAGCGCCCCTGGCATGGCCTTTATGATGAAAAAGAAAAAGTATAAGTTCAATGTGGAAGTTCAGCTGCAGGATTTAGTGGAGGTGGCGCTGGTTAACGAGGTGCTGTTTGCCAAGATACGTCTATTGGATGGCGGTTCGTTTCAGGAGTATAGTAGTCGGTATGTCACAGTATAAAGAATATTCGAAATAATGGGATAATAATGTGATTTCACTGCACTTTTTAGGGAGGAGGTGCGCAATCATCGCGTGGAATGGAATCGGAGCTTTGAGTTCCCCTGCAAAATGAGCGCAAATGCCTCGACTGGCGTATTGGATCCCTGCCATTTGCGCATTTCCATACGCAAGGAGATGAAGGGCGGACGGAGTTATTATAAGCTAGGTTTTATAGATTTGAATCTTGCCGAATTTGCAGGCGCCGGCCTCACATCGCGTCGCTTTCTACTCGAGGGCTACGACTCGAGGCATCGCCTGGACAATTCCATGCTGAGAGTTAGCATTAAAATGCACATGCTAAGCGGTGATATCCTCTTCAAGGCGTAAGTTCGAGCTTGCAACTGAAATTTTTAAATATATCTAAACCACTTTCGATGCCCGCAGACCCACGCCAAGTCTGAAGAGCAAGCAAAGCAAACCTTCCACAGATGATCTGGCCAATGCCGCCACAGGTGTGGGCCTCCAAACGCCCATGGCTACAGCCCTGCCCAGCATGGGCAGTGGAGGTGGCGGCACTGCCATACCGCTGGGTGGCAGTGGTGCAACACTGGGTGGTGTGCCCAGTGCGACATCAGTGCCGGGCACGCGGCCCGTTTCCACAACAAAGGATGATGGTAAGAGATATGAATTACAACACAACAATATAATACATTCTAAAATTGATTATGCCCACAGAGCTTGATCCGCAGGCGCTTATTGCCGCCATTGTCACTGACTCGGGTCTGTCTGAGTCATCGGAGTCGGCGGTAACGTTAACCACAGATAATCTGCAACAACATGTCGCCACAAATGCGAGCACGCCGGTCACACAAGCCTTGCCCCTAGGCCTGAGCGTTATAGGCAGCAATAATTGTGGCACCACCGGTGGCGGCGGGAATGTTGGCCTGGCCGGCGGCAGTGTGGGAGTTACCAGCACTGCCGCAGTAATGGAAATGGGTCATTCAAGAAATTCCAGTAATACTAGTCAAGTAAGTTCACTTTTCGCCTAATCTCTATTACATATGATATGGCAACTTTATATTTCTGATCAGATGTCGAAAGGTTCGGGTTATAGTAGTTTTTCGCACAGTCAACATTCGAGGCAAAGTTCTGAGGGTGACTCGGGACATGCTAGGTAAGTTAACAGCAAGTGCCAACTATTTGCTTAGCTGTAAATATATAGTCTTGATAAATCAACAATTTTACCTAATTTGCCTACAATTCGCGTAAGCATACTTATTATACATATTCAATTTTGTTCACTACTATGTATGCTCAGCCCTATATGCGCTATATATGCTAAGCCTAAATTGTGTCTAAAAAGCGTAACTTACACATCTACACCATATACTCGAATACTGATGTACACACATGTGACTTAACCCAACATTTGATAAGCATAATGCTCATCGAATGTGTACTAAACTGTAAATCACACCTTAACCACCATACATACAAAACACATACAACAACTTGTACTTTACTGCAACATACTTGTGTACCAGAAATGCTGCAAGTTCTACTCTCTTTTATTTAATTCATTAGTTTTTAGTACATTTTTAGTTCCTTAAAACGGCATTTATTATGCTGTCAGAAATACATCTTATATTTTAGTATTATCTTAGTTTTTAGTACATAAGAGTTCTGTTTAAATCATTACTGCTTTTGATTGTAATATTTGCTATAATTTTTACAAAATAACTTCAACTTATTGATTGGCTTCAAGTTAGTTAAAACGTGTTGCAACTGTACTAAATGTTTTTAGTACATTTTATTGAAAATCTTTACTAAGCACTCTCTGAAAGGTTCAAATGCGAATTTTTAATTAATATAATGAAGGGGTTTTCTGCAAGGCTTAGCGTCCTTGAATTGGTCTTTATGCATAGTACACTTAAGTCGTGCACAGCTATTGATTGATCTGAAAATTGCGTACTAATTTAGTACACTTTAGTTTGACAGAGCTATAGCTCGAATATGCTATTTAATCTGCTTTCATTCAGTACCTAATACACTTCACATTTTGGTGCAATTTCGGTTTTTAGACCCATTCACAAACAGCAGTGGAATATTTTTCCATTAAAAGGGCAAAACTATTTTTTCCTCAAGCCAAGCAAACTCTGTCCCCTTGGGTAGTCCACAATACAACACCCACTCAATAACACGCTCGTGGCAATCCGCCCTCGCATACAATGCCCTGCGTCAGAGCCCACAAAAATGCTCCATTCAATTATGTTATGCAAATTTTGTAGTCAGTGGCGGCGGATGCTGCATGCAACAAATTTCATTGCAAAGTTTAAGGTCAGACGATGACAAGTGCAGGAGCGCCAACACTCGCACACACATATCCTTGTTAGTGTGGCCAGACTAGCTGTCTGTGCCGCTGGGCTGACGTTACGGCCTTCTGTGCTGGCAATGTTTGCGTTTTGGCTGCATTTCAAATAAAAACAAAAAAAAAAAAACGCAGAAACATGCAGTCTGTTATTAGAAGCGGCCACGGGGGCGAAGGCATTGTAATAATAACATGCACAATATGAAAATTGTTGAGCTTTCTGAACCTACAGAGCAATGTTTTGCTAAAAACATGTCGCTGATGACTTCATCATCAGCCAGCGGCCTGACTGGCGTCATGTGGGGCGCCAAAGGTCGCCCGTCTGACATTTGTTGAAGTTTCTTTTTATTTCCCATTTTTTGGAAACCAAAGTAGAAGGCATAATGTTAAATGGGGCTCTTTTAATATGGCTTTTAAATGCCAAATACATGTTTAGCCTTGGGCCATAAATACATTTAGTCTTGTAAGGACTAAAAAGGGTTAGCGATTGACATGAAAAGATTGACATTCCTTTATTTATAAATTCCTAAAAATGTGTGGGCTCGATTGAATTACACGAAGTTGTATAATGTCTATATAATTTGTAATGCAATTTTTATTTATAAATCTCAAATTTTAAAGCTATTGGCTATAATTTTAAATGCTTCTTCAAAGCTGTACTCGTAAATAAATAAAAAATATTCAACGAACGTATTTTAATCTCTTTTCTCACTCTTAAAAAAGAATATTTTTAATTATCGTAATTACTTCTTGTAATATAAATGTTTCATAATAAAATAATTAATTTATTTTTGTTCTATATTTTAAATCATTTTACAAAAGAAGCCAAATTAAAACCAATTATTTCCTTATTATAAAATGCTACGATTTTTAATTATTATACAAATTCCTTTCAAAATTTATAAACATAATTTATTTGAATTTAAACTATTATTTTTTTGAGACTATTTCTCAATTGGAAAAATCAGTTTTAAAAGTGAATTGAAAAGCTAATTGAACGTTGTTGAATAGTTTGCAAGATTTATATGGAATCAGAAAAAGCGTTCTTTGAGTTCAAAATGTTTTTAATTGGTGATAGAAAACTTTTCCTGATAAAAGTCATAACAGGAAATGTTATCTAGATCTAGGTATTACTAAACATTCCATGGGGTCTATGGTAACTTTCGGTGTAATATGGTTTGGTCTAATGGTAGCTCCTAACTTCTTCAACTTAGTTTATGTTAATTAACAGCGGCATAGCAGCGCGCTGTTATGTTAAGCATTTTAGTTACATTTTATGTTTAACTTTAGTTTGGCAAATTGATTTAATATTTTTTATTTCTTTCTTTTTATTTTCTTAACCACTATTTTTGTACATATAATGTAATAAAAACTCAAATAATAATAATAATATTTGCAAAAACGGGTAAATGGCCAACTAACCAACATCACAAATACCATATTAACGTAAATGTAATTATAAACTACCACCGCCACGTACGTCGCCCAAATCCAAAACAATAGTCGTTTTAGAAAATCCGTTTCTCTACTCAATAGACTGAATCAGAGAGCTATAAATGCCATGAAATTGAATATATCGACATCGCTGCGACATCATCAGTCAACCAAAACGACGACACCCACATCCTCAGGTTCGCCCTCGTCATCGCCTCCGCAGCAGCGAGGACTGCCAGTCCTATCGACGGCACATCAGGCGCAACTAAACCTCAGCACCACCATCGAGTATGTGAGCGAGGAGCTGCTCTATCAGACGCCCAACGCCACAATGAGCGCTGCGGAGCAAATGCACAACTTTGAAGATTTTCGCACACCACTGGCCGAGATGCCGATGCCGAACTTGAATGCACCTCTCACGTCCCCCAATGGTGGTGGTGGCCTGACACCCTGCTCCACTTATCGCAGTGCCGCCTCACCCTCCCATGCGACAGCCTACTATGATAGCGGCGAGACGAGCGAATCGGACGAGTACATGAACGAGGACTCCGGTGATAATGATTCGGGTCTCGAGGAAAACTTCCACACGCCACGCGTGGCCAAAATCAAATCCATGGAGAATCTCTCCATACTTGAAATGGAATTTCACAAAGCCTCGCAAGAGCTGGATCGAAATTCGCCGCGTCGTCTAAAAATGCTCGCCGAGCATGCGCAAATACCGAAAATGAAGTCACTGAACAATCTCTGCTTCGATGATTACTCGGAGCAGGCTGTGCGTGAGGAGTTCACGCGCATACGTGAGGAATCGCTGGAAGAGCGCTTACGTTTCCAGCAGCAGCATCATCTCCAACACCCACACCATTTGCATGCTGGACATGGACTTGGCCATGGTCTGGGTTACTCGCGCAAGAACTCAACCGCCTCGACTACGTCGTCGGGCAAGCTTTTCTTGAAACATCAGACTAAAGTGGGCAATGCCAAGTTTATTGGCAACGATCATGACACTCCACAGCCTCATTATCCCATACAGAAAATGCGCTCCATGGGCACCATACCGGATGTGGTGAGCGAGCGTGTGGAGGCAGATCCATTTCTCACTCCCACCTCAGAGCGCAAGCCGAACTTTCCACGTCTCATCCAGTCGGCGGAGAAGCCGACGCTGGGCACCAGCTATGTGAACCGCTTACTTACCTATGATCAGGTAGATTCGCCTGCGCACAGTTCGCATAATGATGTCTATCGATATGCACCAACTACGGCAGCAACCGCAACACCCTTGGAGTCCATAACTTCCAATGTATCCTTTATGTCTCGGACGCCCTTCGAGCGCGCCTATCGACGCAGCATGCTGCAGAGTTCGACGCCATTGCGCGAGGGCGAGGCCTTGAACACAGTGGGATCACTGCCACACGCCATTTTGGCCACCCAGGAGGCGTATATTGTGCGACCACATTCCACGAATGCTGCCTACGAGCTAATGAGGTGCGTCGCGTTTTTCATTTCTGATCTCTCTTCTTGCTTTCTCTAACCAAAACATTAATTAGCAACGTTTCATAGATAGTGCGTTTCTTGCCGTTCTTGTTCTCGTTATACCGTATACCGTTAGGGTTTATAATCCATGTTTCGTTCGCCATCCATTCTCGCGCTCGCTTGTTTCGCGTCCCTTGCTCCTGTCATGAGAACGCCATTTCCCATTAACTTTAATCATATTGCATTACTCGTTATTGTTATTATTGTTCTCGTTCTTATTTTAGTTTGTTACGTTTCGTTCTATTACCATTTCGTTTCGTTCCGCAATTGTTTCAAGTTTCGGTTTGTACTAATCATATTGCTGGTTTAGCTCTAATCTAAGCTGAAGGAGCACACAATATTAAGTCTTAAGCCACCTCGTAAGTTAAGTGCAAATTTTCTAATCTCACCCGTTTCAATTTTGGGGAATCTATGGGCGCACACTGCACATTGTACAGTTAAGCTAAGCTGGAAAAGCGGCATCTAACTGGAGCTTTGGAAACCCTACAAATAACTCCCATTTGCATAATTGGGTCTTAGAAATCAATAATATTTGGGTAGTTTTGAACAACACATTGTACATGTTAACAAGTTGTGACAGATTTTTAAAGAAAATGAAACTTACATTAAATGCGAACAGATCTTGTAAGGTTCTTTATAAGAAAAAGGCGCCCGAAATCGCTCAAAAAATAAAATGCAGATGTAATTTTTTCCTACAATCTATTTAAAGTTCTTTAGTTAAGAAACTGGAAAGCTTTTTCCTTGAAAACTAAAAATTGTTTTCTTCAATTCATAAAAATATTTTCTCAAAAATATATATACTTCTCTTTAGATTTCTCTCAACAACATTTTTTATAACGTAAAATAAAATTTTTTAGGGGCGAAATATTATTTCTACTTAATGGTTAGTAAATTGCTTTAAACTTAAATGAAATTGCCAGTTTTCTAAATTAAGGAAAACCTATTCCATATATAATCAAATAATACGCTACAAGTATGTATAACTAAACAGAATATTTTATAAAATGGAAAGGTAATTTTTTAATGAAAAATCAATTTTTTAAATAATTTCTTAATCTAAGAGCAAAATGCAATAACTTTTAGAAATTTTTAAATTCAGCTAAAGTTCCCGTTCTGAAAACTATTAGATCCATCTATGTATATAATTAAAAAAAAATTATTTCTAAATAGGAATATTTTAGAAAGCACTACATTTAAAGGTGGTTTTTAAATTTTAAAAATTAATACTTTTCGGTAAAACTTGGAAGTCTATTTTGCTAAATGGATCCTGTCCTGGTTTTGTCAATTTAAGTACAATATTCCATTCGATTTTATTCAGAGGGTCCGATTGAATTTACCGGAATAAAGCTATCTAATTTTATTAGTTCAAGTTAACGGATTAAGGGAATTAGAATTTTCATGTTACAATTTTCATACAAATCCTTAAATTCAAGGCTTAATTATTTGCTTGTATAACCGAATAAGGAGCTTTAAAGGTATTTTCCAAATTGATTCTGCGAAACGTGTCACAGAATCTCACGAATAATTGACTCTCAGTCCATTTATTTTTCTTTCTTTCTCTTCTCCCTCAATTTAAATTTGTTATTTACCTGGCCATAAAACAATCAAATCCCCACCATCTCCTCCCACCTGCTGGCCATGTCAAAACACACAGACGAACGTCGCCGTCGTCGTCGTCGTGCAGGAAACGCTTTTGGCCTTAAGGTCAGTAAGCACTGGCCTCCTAAACTGGGCCAAGGATGTGCGCAGGTTCGCAGGGCAGCACCAGAACCAGCTCCTGCCACTGCCACTGCCACTGCGACAGCTCTTCTCGTGATTGCAACTCGCATGTGTCGTTTGGTCACTCGACAGTCACAATTGCTGCCCACAACTCAAGCAGAGAGTTCAAATTTCTGCTGTCTGTAGTAATTTTTTGAATTTGAATTTTGCTTCCCGAGACTTGTGGGACGCTGGTGCTACTGGTGCTGCCTCTCAGATTTTAATGCGCAATTTTAAATTCAATTTGGATCTGTGCTGAATTTACATACCAACTCATGGGACAGGGAAGAGGGGGGCAAATATGTCGAGCTTTAAATTGTCGTTGCGTGCATTTAGCTTGAATGACCATTGCCATGTTTGAGGTCAGGGTTGTTGAGCACTGAATTGTGTTTTTGCTTGCATGCTGCCGGCGCGTGTCCACTGGGGAACCGACCTCTCTGTGTGATAATGGATAATGGCACTCTATTTCAGTTTCACGAACTGACAACAACTCCAAGGTGGGCGTTATGATAATTTAGTTAGTTGGGAGAATAATGATATCATCACAGCAAAAGGACATAAGCTATTTTAACTGTACAAGTATATCTGTAGAAATTCTTCGGCTAATTTGCTTCGGCTAATTTGTTAATACATAAATTGTGTATATTTGATAGAAATGGATATGAAAGATTAATTGTTGATGATGAACGGAAGGAAACTTAAGAAAGATCTTGAAATGCCTCTCTATCTTTTCCCCAAAAAAGGGCCTATATGGAGTTAAATGGTGGGTTAATAGATATTTCGTTATTTCCCACAAATAGACTTACACGAGGTGATAGTAAGGCAAGCGAATTTTCGACATTTGTGCAATCAATTTTTGAGAGGGGTCCGCAACCGTTAATATATAAATTTATTAGCAATGATTATAAATGACTTGACAATAATAAGCATTGAACCTGAATTCAAACTGTAGAAAGCGGGAGCAATCATTTAAAAAAATGCAATTTGTTATCAAAAAATACTTGTAGTTCGTCGTATGCTTAAATTTAAACGCCAATTATTTTTAAAAATACAGAAAACTGTAAAAAAAAAAAAATTCAAAGCCACTTAATACAAGAGCAACAGTTTTCCACAAATGGGCTTAAATCAGGCCAAATGATCGGAAAACAAGGAAATTTTAATTTTTTATGGTATAGATTTTTTAGAGCAGTCATTAGAATGGTAGTGAGATTTATTCTAGGCGCTTCCCATATCTGTTGATTACTGATTACTGCTTTCATTTAAGTTGATCGCTTGAGCTAAAGCGACAAAGTAATGTGCTTTTTTTTTGCTTTTTTCCACAACAACAGTGTTGTTGTCCAATCAACTTATTTGAATAACAGGATTTTGTTGATTTATTATTCTACATTAACTTATAATTCTACACAATCTTCAAACCCAACCGCCACACAGTAACACTTTTACATACACAAATACACACACACATAGTTACCTATATAGAATATAATTATCTTATCATATAGAACGCATACAAGAAATAAATTCAAGTGCTTCTTCCCCCTTAAACAACAAATATTTGTTGCATCCCCTTTTGAGTTAGAAAGCCATTAAATGAAATCATTTTACTCATTCAATATATTGTGCATATTTTGCCAATTATTTTGTTTCTTGTACTCTCTGTAATTGCGCTTAAAATTATATTTAAAACAACAACAACAAAAAACAATTTGAAATATAAATAAATCCTGCCTTGGGTGCGTAACCCAAAACAGAAGCTTCAGCGGCGTGCCGCGTCGCTTGTTCGACGGCAACAGTTCCGTGAATCCAGGCAACAACAGCAGCAACATGGCCAGCAGCAGCAACAACAATCGCCAGCAGCAGCAGACAGGAACAACTGCGAGCACTTCCGCTGGTTTTATGGTCGGTTCGAGCTCTCCGTGCGGCACCCTGGCGAGCATCCATTCGAACCACTCGGCCTCATCCTCCAATGGCAGCAACAGCAGCAGCAGCGGCGCCCTCATTACCTTTCAGTGTCATTCCGGCGCCGACACCGTGGATGCCCCTCAGCACCAGCACCAACACCAGCACCAGCAGCATCAGCAAACGTTAGTTGGTTCACCCGGCATGAGTGGCAACAACGGCATCGCTGTCCTTCCACTTAGCCACAGTGGCAACGGCAGCAATCCTCGTCTAGGAGGCGATGCACTCAGCTCGCTCGCCGCCAGCCCCACAGATGCATGCAGCATTCGCTCGAATCCATCGGCCGCCTCGCTCTTGCTCTCCACATCGGCCGCCGCTGCCGAGGCGTCCGCTCACGCCTCGGCCACCACCATGTCCGTGTCGGGCGCAACGCTATCGCCGCTTGCCACTACCCAGATCATCCGCCGCCCCAGCGTCACGATGATGTGCGTGCCACAAATTTTATTTTGCGTGCCTCCTAGCATTAGTCCATAAGTTCTCTATTCTTTGTATTACTCACGACTTATGTTTGGAAAGAGTCCAAAAATTAATGGTTCAAATCTTAGGAAGAGGAAGAGATGCTATTATTATTTATGAAAAGGTTGGGAAATGGCGTGGCAGTTACTATTAGATTTTCTTTTCAGCAACTTCAGCTTTACTTTTTTGCTGAGAAGGTGAACAAATCGACTAAGATTAAGAAGGCAATATTTCTATGATAGGGTTGTACAAAACTTGTTAGAGAAGAAGATCTATACAGTTTAAAGGCACGATATTAAAGCGATATTTCTAGAGGAGGGTGTTAAAAACCCTGTTAGGGACGTGCTCGTTTCTCCGTGTCCGATAAGTCTGTTTTGTTCCTGCGAGTAGCAGGACAATCGAAGTGGAGATAAAACTCAGCAACTAGAAGCGCTTCTTAGTGCAAACAATTTATAATTAGGCTTAAAATTGTATCTTTAATGTTTTCATCTGAACAAATTGGATGGAAATATTTCTATAGTATATGAATCATCATAAGAGTTATAGAGTCTAACCATAAAGAATTTGGTATTTCCGTTTATATATACATACATACTATATATCATTTATCAGAACCCATAATTTTTGGACTCTCTTTAATATCTTGGTACTTGTAATGTGAACGCTAGGCTCTTTAATTTTTTTAGTGCATATCGGAAATGTTATTTGTATTGCTCTTAAGTTTATGATATTGTTGTAAACTTTTTTTTTAAGTAGCACCTGGGCATGTTTTAAGACAATTAATCTATTCTCTGCTTTTAAATACGTTCTTAAATTATTTAAAACTATATATTTCCTTATAGACTTACAGCTTAACTCTACCATATAGGCTTGAAAAATTCATAGCCGTTTGTGGAAATATTATTTTTTTTTTTAAACAAAAATTCTTCTTCATCTTAAGTCGTTTTACAACAATCGCCTTAATGTTGATACCATATTAATTGGAATTCGATAATTCAATTGTTTTACCTTTGGCAGCAGCTTTAAAAGTGCCAAAGTCCGCTATTGTGATTGATACTATACCTTCAATAGTTTTATGTTCGCACTTATTATCGTTCCCACTTTAACATACTCTCTATATCAAGATCATCATTATAAAGCCATTGATAGGAAACATGTTCTTCAATTTAGTCACTTTATTCATCTATGTATCAGAGAAGAAATTACAGACCATTGGCTATAGGATTTATTTCCTCTATTTGGCAAAATCAAGTAATCTGAAATTGTACCTTCCATGCTCATATATTCGTACTCAACATATTTTCAATGATAGATAGATACCTTTCAAAATAAACAATACCTTAAAACATCTTTCGTTATTAAATAAGGGATAGAAACACTTAGTGGTAGAGATTTTGGAAATTGATTTCTTTGCCACGTTTTTACAGTATTTTCTCTGTTACCATTTGTAACTGCTGAGGAGCTGAAGAAAGAGCGAGCACTCTATAATTGTTTGTTTGATACATATAAAATATTTTGGTATTTTTTATTAAAAGATGTTTGTTGTTTTTATAATTATTATTAAGTTTACGTTTTCTCTATGTGCCTTAAAGTTTTATAAATATTATTAAGAATCCTTTGAAACCCCCTCCCTAGTTGTGTCGCCTAATAATGTCTGCAAATATGTTTGTCTGCAATCCGTTGCAATATTTTTGGCTTTTCTGTGTTGGATATATTTGCATGGGCATGTCCAGTACCTACGCCTAAGTTTTAAGCACTTTGTATTGTCCCGGCGTGTGTTGTTCTATTTTTTTCTGTTCAAATGCTAAGATGATCACACCTTGCACCAGCAGCGCATTTTGTGTGTACGGCTAGCGAGCACTAGAACCCCCCCCCCCACCATCCGAGCATCTTTAAAACACACTATACTTAACTTAAGATATTTACTAACGAAATTTTTAACTTACTCGTAATTCATCTGCAGGAATCCCAGTTCCGGCTCGTTAGTTCTAAGTGAAACAGGATCTCTAGATCGCACGAAAACCAGCGGCGAGAAACGCAAGAAGGGGGCCCTGGACGATGGTCCGCGCGTTTCGGATCGCGTCGAGGAGACGCGCGTCAATCCAAATTCATTAATCGATGAGATATTGAAGGATACGAAACTGGATCAATTGGAGGAGTCGGCGGAGAGTAAGTGCAGAGAACCCATTCCCAGCATAAGAACAGCCTACTTAACTGCTAATTCGCTCCCATTACAGCCTCCGGCCTACAACTGTATATAGCGCGTGATGGAACCGCCTCTTTGGGAGGTCACGAGGTCAAGTCGAGCGTGCGTGCGGGTGCCCTGAAGCAGGTCGTCATGGACGATCGAAGATAGTAGCGTCAACTGAACACATATGTACTACATATAAATATAGGAAGCGTGTATGTGCTTTGTATAATGTTTTAGGAGACTAACAACTACAACAACAACAACAGCAGCTACTACTACTACAAGCAACAACAACAGCTAATTGTGTGTAATGCAACTGAATGTAATAAGAAATTAAACGCAAGCAAAAAGTGAATATATATAAATACGAGTATATAAACGTACGTCATCATGTCAACCCACACTATACTGAACTATCTATATATATTTATATATATATATACATACATACACAATGTAAAACTACTTAGCTATATATTACTATACTCTACTATATATGTATGTGTGTATACAGAATATTGTGTGTTAAACTATGTTAATTAACAGCAGCATCAGCAGCAATAACAGCGACGGCCATGTTAATTAACAGAGAAGGAAGCTGTGTGGCTTGTTGTGGGACAGTTGTTTGGTTTCGCAAAGGGTTGTCAATGTTTCCACTCTCTTTTTTTATTTAATTTTTTAACAAATGCTACATTTATTTTATTTGTTTTTCTGCCGCCACAACTGTCCCAAAACTGTCCTGAGCCAATTATTAATGGAAATAACCACAAAATTACATGTGAATATTTGAAAAAAACCAAAAATGCAACTTTTAAATTTTTAATTAATAAAATGCTTGCACTCTTTATATGTATAGAATTTATTAAGGCAGACACCTACAATGTCGGCTCATTAATTAACATAGAAAACATTTCAATGCATAAGTAGTGACAACAACAAAAAAGAAAAACACAAGAAAAAGTATAAAAAGAAAACCCAGAAAATATGAAAAACACGCAAATCTTCTTTATTTATTGCTTCCAAAACCAAGTCTTGCGCTCATCTACATAACAAATAACAAATATCCAAAGTAAAAACAAAATGCAAATTGCTATTTAAAGAAAAACATACGAGTAAATACAAAATTGCCATACACATTATAAACAACTAAAAATACATTAAACTATATATAAAGCAAATATTACGACAGTATTCAACAAACTTGCACTTCACACACACATATTCGCGACTTGTTTATTTGCATTTTATTTTGTTTTTATCACAGTTACATTTTTACATATTTGTTACACCTTCATTGTATATTACCAATATTTTTTTAAAAACAAAATAATCAAATCAAACTAGCGAGTAGTTAGCATTTTAAATTGTGAAATAATGCGTAAACGACACAGCTAAAGCGGATTGAGAGATGTGTGATTGAGAAATCTTTGTAAAATACGTATTTCAACAATTCTATGTTTTATTGTGCATTCACAAAACAGTTTTATGTAAAAATGAATACAAAATTCTTACTGTGTTTACCCTTTTGTATGATATACTATTTGATATATGGAAAGAAAATGAAAACAATGCAAAGAAATTGTTAAGTATATAAATGCAATTAGTTCTTAGCTATATTTTATGTTAAACAACAACAACAACAAACAAACAAACAAAATGTATGTAAAATTGCTTTAGTTATTTTTGATAATTTGTAAAAAGAGTAAAAGATAAAGCCGAAGCTCCAGTTAGTTTTATAAATTGTATTGTATATGGATTTAAAAGCAAAACGTGCGGTTTGAAATTGTCAAGTGCATAAAAATATATTTGAAAAAGTATAATGTCTGTGGATTTGAAGTTGGCTAGAAATGTGGTTGGCAGTAATTAGAAAATATTTCTTACACAACATTTGCAATATTTATTGATAAAATTCTAATCTTCGATTGTCAATTGTTAAGCATTGGAATTAAATGCTTTAGCATTTCTATCGCCCAGGCGTACTTTAATCTGTTTATAAACTCTATAAATACAAATTTATTGCCAACTACAGTCTAGAACTGCCAACAATATTTCAGCCAATTCGCAAACCTTTTTGGGGGCACTTTGACAGCACAGAGTCGAGCTGAATTTAAGAAAAAAAAAAAGAAAACAAAAACGAGAACTGCATGTGAAAAAGAATTACCAATAAAGTGAAAATTGAAACGCAGAGTACATTAACAGTTTATTTTAGCTGCTCTTTCACAAATCGAAGGTACGTTCCGCCCTCAGCCGCTAGCACAAACGTTTTCGGATCGAATCTCATTTCAGGCAACGTGCGGTCGCAAGTCTCGACGCGATAATTCTTAAGGATGTAGAACAGGCCGACCTTAATCTCCAGCAGTCCTAGTATAGTTCCAATACAACCGCGTGGACCAGCGCCAAACGGTAAATAACTCGTCGGTGTGTGCTGCTGACGCTCCTCGGGCGAAAAACGCTCCGGATCAAATTTATTGGGTTCCGGCCATAGCTGGAAAGGAGAGGACATGAGAGACGATGAGCTCGTGGACTAAAACGTATAACTTGTGGGTCGACCTTCCCCCAAAGGGGAAAGCAGACCTGATGAGTCTATAAATATAACTACTAAATAATGCCTACCTCCGGATCTCTGTGCAGGCCCAAGACGGATATGTATACAGGCGTGCCACGCGCCAAACGTGTCGGACCCCAAGGTTCCAAATCGTAGCCTTCGCTGGCGTTACAGCAGCGGTCCAAAAAGGCGGTGGGGGGATATAGACGCAGAACCTCGTCCACCACTTGCCGCAGGTAGGGCAACGAGCTGAGGGATTCATAGCTCAGCTGCGTATTACTGGACTGCTGGAGGGCGGCTTTAAGTTCGTCACGCAAATTCCGTTGAATCTCAGGGTGCTTGGCGAGCTCGTAAAGGGCGAAGGTTATTGTCGAGGAGGAAGTGTCGAAGCCCGCCAGCATCAGAAATGCTGCTTGAGCCACATAAAAGTCCTTCTTGTGCACCACACTGTCCATTGGATGGGTGCGTTGCAGCTGTAGGAAGATGTCAATCAGATCATTCCTCTGTGCTCCGGTGGTGGCTCGTTCGCCCATTATGAAGTTCATGGATTTGCGCATGAAGCGTTCGTACTCCGTGGAGAAGAGATGCGCACGCATACGCCGCACCCAGCTGGGAAAGAAGAAGATGGTGAAGAGATCAAGAATGCGTTTGGGACGCGGAGTGTTGACCTCAATGCACATGCGTCGGAAATCCGCATTCGGTTGCTGCAGGCTGTGCGCTTCAATCCCAAAGGCCAATGAGGATATAATATCGGTGGTAAAGAGCGCACACAACTCCTTCACCTCCACCACCTCACTGATGCCATTTCCTGCCTCTAGACGCAGCTCCATATGCTCCTCCAGCTGATCTCCAATTTGCTGCAACAATCCATACATTTGACGCACCTTGTTGGCCGCAAAGAAGGGCGTAAAGATTTTGTGTATATCGCGCCAAACCTCGTATTTGGCGAAGAACAAGTTCTGCGAACCCATCGTATCCCCCACAGGATCTGTGGTCTCAAAACGACTCGAGAATTGCGCAAAATCCTCCACAAGTATGCGTTTTATGAGCGTTGGCTCCCGCAATAGAATCGCATGATTATGTAGCACATGAATCCCGACATAGGCCTCCCCCACGGCCTCGGGTGCTTCGTAGAGCTCCCGAAACTGATCACCAAAGCAGCAGCGATAGCGCAATAAACGCCAAACATTTCCCACTATGGGTGTGGCTGGGATGTGCGGCACATTACGACGCTTCCAGTAATTGTAGTGGTGACGCTGCCAGAGCCAGCCGAGAATTCCGAGCACCACCGCGCCACCACAAACCGCAAATGGAAGCAACGCCAGCAACAACAACAAGCCAGCGACGCCAACGCACGCGGCTCCAATTAGTATTATAATTCCCAGCACAATGATCATTTTGCGACTGCAAGAAGTTCAGTCGTCGTGCACTCACGACTGCAAAACGTCAACTGATAACCAGTATCGCGCCTTCCCGGGTCCAACGCACTGCAATGGAACGGCCTATCAACTAGGCAGTAAGATTACGTAAGATTACGACTACATTACAGTTTTTTATTACTTGCAGGCAGGGTTGCATTTGAATTTATTATTATTTATATTTTAATTTTATGATCACATTTATTTATATTTTTATACCCTGTATATGTCCTTTTTGATGTTCCGACAGCTGTCCAAATGAGCAAAATGAGCATGAAAACGATAGTATAAGCCAGGAGGAGCAGAAGGAAGGAATTAATTATATTATAATATTAATAAAATAGGTTATAATAATAATGATGGATGTCCTTTTTGAAGTTCCGACAGCTCGTCGAATGAGCAAAGTGAGAAGGCAAACGAAAGTTTAAGCCGCGAGGAGCAAAACGAAGAAATTGATTGTAAGTATTATAATAATAATAAAACTTATACATAATAATAATTAGAATAAAAATATTGATGGATGTCCTTTTTGTGTCCTTTTACATGTACATTTTATTTCCTATCCTTTATTTTTCCTATGCATGTATCTAATTTAAATTAATAATAAGAACAATAATTATTAATTAATTTAATTTGTAAATAAAAGAAAATAAAAATGAATTCAAATATATTTTAAATCGATTTTTGTTTATTAGTGCTGTGGGTGAGGGGCCTGAGGAGGGTGGTTATAGGAAGTACCCATATAGCGGACTCATAGATACACAAACTTCAGTTTGACCGACGGCCAAAGTGGCCGCGTTTGCTAAAAACCAAAATCTGAAGTACCAGGCGAACATAAACCAACAGCAAGATGCATTTTTTTTGTTAAATTTAAAATTAAATTCGACTGCCTAAAAGTATGCTACACTTTTCGTAAAGTTAGCCGGTCTTCACACCTTTTAGCAGCTGGGGCACAAACCAGTTTACCAAATGGGTTTGAAGCCTGCCTGCAAAATGGTTTAAAACTTGGCTACATTTATTTTTTAATTTTTTAAAGAATCGTCTTGCTGCTGCTTTATGTTCGCCTAGTACGTAGCCAAGATGCCAGTTTGCAAACTAAGTACAGGGCATCTACGGCTTTCCTAAAATTTATGAAACCGCCTGCAAATGCTAAAATCCAAAATCTGAAGTACTAGGCAAACATAAACCAGCAGCAAGAAGAATTTTTAAAAAATTTAAAATTAAATTCGACTGCCTAAAAGTATGCTACACTTTTCGTAAAGTTAGCCGGTCTTCACACCTTTTAGCAGCTGGGGCACAAACCAGTTTGCCAAATGGGTTTGAAGCCTGGCTGCAAAATGGTTTAAAGCCTGGCTACATTTATTTTTTAATTTTTTAAAGAATCGTCTTGCTGCTGCATTATGTTCGCCTAGTACGTAGCCAAGATGCCAGTTTGCAAACTAAGTACAGGGCAGCTACGGCTTTCCTAAAATTTATGAAACCGCCTGCAAATGCTAAAATCCAAAATCTGAAGTACTAGGCGAACATAAACCAGCAGCAAGAGGTTATTTTTTAAAATTAAAAATTTAATTCTGCTCCTGTATGGTATGCTACACTATTTTTTAACGGCGGCCGGTTTCAAACCGAGTTTCAAACCAATAGAATATGAAATAACTAATTAGATAAATAAGTTGCAGCGGTACAACTGTAATGAATGTAAATAAAAAAGGACCCTTTTTTTGACTTGCTTATGTTTGCCTGAAGTTGAAGGATTAGGATCAGATCCGGCTTCCTGCAGCAAATCAATAAAAAAGACAAAGGTTGTTATATTTTAAAAGTTGTTTTATTTGAAATAAAAAAAAAATTGCATGCATCATTTGCCTTATGGTAAGTGAACATTTTAAGGATAAAGGATAAACGCAGCTCCTTTTACAAGAAGAAGAACAGGAACAGCAATAAATATAAGAAAGTCATTTTTGTTGCTTTTTATAATAATATCAATACATTTCTTGTTTGTTTACAAATTAAAATAACAATTAATTTTATAGTTACATATTTTATAATAAAAGTAATAATTAATTTATTATTACTTAAAAATAATTAAATTGTATAATTAATTTGTTATTTATTCTTGTATACATAAATAAACTTCTTATTTGTATACAAATTAAAATAACAACTAGTTTTGAATTTGGTATTTACATACAACTTAAAACTTATTTAATTATTAATCTGTATTATCGCTTTGTTTGGCAAAAGCAGAAATTTATTGTGGAACATCATTTGAAGACAGCTAGCCGGTGGCTGATAAATAAGGATAAGAACAGCATAGTATTTATCCTTGCAGTGGGCGCAGCTGCGTAAGAGCCCCTATCATGTTCCCTCCTGAAATGGGCCCATTTCACACACAATACGCCCGGTGGTTCTACGATCCCCATTGAAGATGGAGGACGTACTTATCTCAACATGACATGGACATCGTGGCCAGCAACAAGTGCTTATATAAAGCCACAGATATCATGCGGGGGTACCTGCAGGGCTTCGAAATGCGGGCAAAGCGCTAGGACATCGGCATTAACCGAAGAAATGCAACTATGTCCTGGCGCCTGCTTGTGGGACCAGCAGTTAAAGCAACTCAACAGCTACAAGCTCTCGCTCGATCTATCCTGTATTACTCCTACCTCGCCTACCTAGGGAGAATTCTAATTCTGCACTCCAAAACATTATGCTCGTTGACTGGTCCATGAGAACCGTTAATATCGAAAAAGACCAAGAAGTATTCAAAGTTAGTGACTTCATTAACGAGCTAGCTGCACAGTACATGGGGCGGTTACGGACCCATGAAGATGTCTTACCATGGCGTGTGAGGAGCAGACTCGGTCGGCCTTGCATTAGATTTTTATGCACTATAAGTAAATATATAAAATTAATTAGTTAATTCCATAAGCCTTTATTAAATAAAAACAGTACAACTTATCTATATATAAAAAACAGTTTGTACTGACTAATCAAACGGTAAAAGCTAGGAAGCTGAAATTCGGGCTTAAGTGTCCTTTCATAGTGAAGGTGGGCGATAAGAAGCGGTTTTTGAAGAATCGAGCTCAAAGGGGAGAATCTAGATGCCATGTTTGGTTATTCTAGCTCTTATACTTTTTGAGATTGGACGGGCGGACAGGCAGACGGACATGGCTATATCGACTCGTCTTGTCCTACTGATCAATAATATACATATATACATATGTACTTTGAAACTTATAATTGTAAGCACATTTTAGTTAGCCCAGCAAAGACGGGCAAGACCTGCTGGTATGTACATATATAACCATAAGTAGGTACATATGTATGTGTTGCAAGTTGTAAGCGAAGAGGAAAGGGAGAATGCATGACTTGCCTATTTTCTAGATTTCCATCAAAACAGGCCTTCCGCTAACACTTTCTGAAAAGTCATTGACATATCAGACTTTAAATTTGCTTTCCATTTCTATTTTCTGGGCAGCTCGGTCACACATCACACTTGTCTTTTCCTAATTATAGTTAATAATAAGAAGTGGTTAATCGTCGTTGAAAATTCGGCAGACAGTGATATTTAAAAAAAAAAAAACAGAAAAAAAAAAACGGTTCCATCAAATCCTTTTCATTAGATTCATAATTCCGTGCTACTATGATTATTATTTTCTGATCTTCTTTCAACAAAATGCGGCAACATTCGCTGGTGTCGCGCGGCGTCCGTTTGTGTCGAATTGCTCGCCATCTTGGTTGTAAGTAACTGAAGCTTATCTGTAAATTCCCCCACATAATTGCATTTTAGTGCTAGGACAGAGATCTACTGGACTCAACTTTATACCACTGAGAGACACAGAGGCATTCTTTCCGAAATATGTGCTGGAGACACCCGTTCCATTGTATTACACAGGCCTACATTGCCACGTCAAGGCCTTGTTGTCGACTGCTTTAACGAGCACAGGGAAGAAGTCTGTGAATATGCCCCGAAGAGGGGGCAGAACGGGTTTCTCCCTACGCACTCGCAGATCACCGGTAACTCTACAAGCTTCGAAATCAAACTGTGCCTGGAAAGCAACTGCGAAAGCTCCACTGCTATTACCGACATCTAACTGCTGGTCCAGAATAATAGCGCCTCGATTTTGTAGCTCTCTACCCGACTGGGAAGAGGTGGACTTCGGCGAGAATGATCATTTGGTCGACGGCCTCACACAGTTGTACGACATCCAGGAGGCAATGCACGATGCCGCCGCCAGATTTCAGGATTCCAAGCCACTCGAAAGCGGTAAGAGCGCACGCAGTCGCTCCGAGCAGCGGGCCAGAGCTATTTTCGTGGATTCAGAACGGCCATGGGAGTACCAGAATGAACGGTACAGTCCCAGAAATCAGTACAGCATTCACAGACGTAACCAGTTACGCGGTCGTAGTCCTGGCACCAGAAGGGATCAGGATAATACCAATTACGGCCTAGGTGGTCACAATCCATCGGCTCAGTATACTGGCCGTCAGACAGAGGGCATGCAACCAAGTCAAAATCACAATCAGTCTCGTTCGTCACATAGCAGCACGGATCAGACGCTGGACAGAAAGAGGGAGTACGAAATATGGAAGCAGAACATGGAGAAAACATTCGACATTGATCGTCAGCGCACAGGACGAAGAGAACGTCGCATATCGCGATATCAGATTTCGCACTACGGGCAGGAGGAGCGCGCTAATTACGGCGACACGCCGATTCCGAGCAAAAATCAAAGTCGTACTCACAATAAATACTTCTCCAATTATGCGGGTGTGCCGGAGACAGGGCCAGGCGAGCCAACAGAACGCAAGGGAATGCACAACCGAAAGGAGCGCTACGCCGGTTATGCCGAAACGGCACACCAAAATGTTGCCACAGCGCAAGGGATGCAGCCTGAGGGGCGCAGACGTAAGGGTAAACAGAAAGAAAGAAGTCGTGCCGAATATGATGCCTTTATGGATAATATAAAGCAGAACTTCCGAAAGCAGCGCACATCTCGGTCGGAGCCGCGACCCGGACCCGCAGCCGCAACGGCTGTGATTAACGCACGAGTCCAGCAGATGCTCGCCCAGCAGCCATATGGACACATCAAACCTCCGCCACCCATTGGACCGCATTGGTCCGGCCCTAAAAGATCACAATTCCACAAATGGACAAGTGCTCGTGCCCCAAACTTTAATTACGATGTTGAGCACAGTGGCCCGGATGGGCTCGAGGATCTTGATAATGATCATCGCAGCACCCGGGATCGTTACGGCCATTACCACCTAGAGCCAGAAATGACAAGTTCTGTCAAATTTTCATCAGATCTCGAGCGGCGTCAACCCATCCAGGACTATGCGTCAGCCACCCCCGTTTCCAATACACATCATTACCACAAACGTAGTCAGCTTCCCTTCGAAACCCAACTGAAGGTGGATCGCTTGGCCCAGCAGGTGCGTCCGAAGCCCCAACACCTAATGCCGAAAACGAAAACCCACAAACACAGGAATTTAGATGATTTCGAGGACGATGAAGTGTTTGAACCAAATGTGTCACTCCGAGCGAAGACAGCTCGGCCCATGATCAGAGCGAGTAGGGTTCCCCTCACAAGGAGATCCGTTACCGAACGCCCGAATCGGCCGCGTAAAGCCTGGGAGCCTACAATAAGACCCGATCTACTCCATTTAATCAATATATCCTCATTCGAACCCGTGCAAGCGCGTCCGTCACCGCGAAAACGCAAGTCGCGAAACCTCGCGTCTGAGGAGAGCTACAGGCAGCATACCCGGAATCCAATTCCATCCAGCACGGACATGATGGGCGCCTTCTATACAGGACCCTATGAGTTGGTGGCCGGCCAACCGCTTCACAGCCGTCGTCTAAAGGGAGAAGACAGCCCCCAGCCACCGCGTGTCAGCTACTGGCAAGGAATGAAGGCGCCAGCTCATCCCCAGCCCGATGAGACGCCCGAAGAGAAACTCGATCGTCTCTATGACCGAATTTTCCAGAACGAATTAAGTAGACTAAACCAAGATAATGGTGCTGAAGAGGGTGAAGGCGAATGTGAAGGCGGCATCTAAAAGGTATGTAAATGCAGATAGAATATTTAACTTTATTTTTTCTATAAAATGAGATCTTACATAAGGAACATATTTGTCAAACGTAGGCAGTGTGTGAAAGGTAGACGTAGGCGCGATAGTCTTGGCACATCAAATGAACTTAGACATGCCCGTTTGTCCATCCGTCCGTCCGCCTGTATGAACCCCAAGAACTTTTGAACCATAACAGCTAGGGAGAACAAACTTGGTAAGTAGACTTGCCATATCTATATGCAGATTATGGTTACCATATACATGACCTCATTATTTTATTTAGCAGACATGGGAACGACTGCTGCAGAGAAGATTATTAAATAGAATTTAAACTTACGGTTTAATTCCAGTTTGCAAAAAACATTCCTAATGTAAGCTTTTTAACTTTTTTACTCGAAACTTTAAACAACGAAACGACTTGTGAGTTCAAACTTGGCTGAAAACGGAATTCAATTTCATATCATATGCAAAATTCTAGCTGCAAATGGTGTCGTTAATTAATTATAAATCCATTGATATTTTTAATCAAATTTTCTCTTAACTTGCAGGAGCCTAATGAAATAAACACAGGATTTGATGGAACTAAACACGAATGCCACCACGAGTTCTATAACTTTTTCAAATTTTCAGTTTTCTGTGCATTTCCAATATATATGAACTGAAAAATCGTACCTAAACATTATGGTACTGAGATGGGATGTTCTTGTATTGTTGCGCAATAATTGTGGATGTTTATTTCACAAGAATGGGTCACAAATGCGTCAAGGAATCGTAAAAATATTAACAACAATGACTCGTTCAGAAGTGTAAAAAGAGAAATATGTAATTCACAGTTCAATAAATGAGATGAGCCGCCTACCGTTATTTATAATTGTAAATTCTAATTAGTGTGCATAATTATAAATGTTTCGTTTTATCATAATAGCAATGAAATATTGTTGATTAGTTCATTTTCACAGCAATGTCGCCGCTAGTACTTCCCTATAAATTCAAGCTTTATAGGATCTTTAACAATTTGTTTTTACTAAAATAACGTTATCCAGCTTAGCAAGAATTTTTACATATTAAACTAAACGTAAGATCAACTTCTTTTATAACTTAACATTATTGTCGCAAAATTAAAGGTTGCTTGTTGCAAGAGAGGCAAAAAATTGCCATTGACTCTGTTATCTTAAATAATAATTCTCCACGAGTAAATTGAATACAAAGTAAAGTTAATTATTTTCCAATAACCAACACAATGAAAGCTTCTTATTATATTTCCGTTTTCTTTTGAACTTGTTCTTTTGGAAGAAAATGCTATGGCAGAATTAGCAAGAAGTTCAAAAGTTGCAGCAACCACCAGCAGAGAGGCAGGCAAAAAGTTGTCATTGACTGATGCCAACAACACGCGGTGTTCCCAAGCGGTCCCCCATCTAAGTACTAACCGCGCCCGACGCTGCTTAATTTCGGTGATCAGACGAGAACCGATGTATTCAGCGTGGTATGGTCGTTGGCGAATGCTGAGTGTTGGAAACTGTGTTTTGTGCTGACATTCCATTGCCACTGGATTCAAAAAAAAAGTATCTTTCAGATACGCTGAGTTGTATCTTAACATTTAAATACTTTCGTCCAAGTGCTTACTAATCGGTTGGGAGTATTTATAATTTCATTCCCTGTACCTGCTTTTCTTTTAAAATCGACTTAAATATTATTTTAATTTGCTTTTATAAACAAATCATAAGCTATGGTCCATTTCGTTCTTTGTTTCTTATGTTAAACAATAATTCTTCACGAATAAATTGAATACAAAGTAAAGTTAATTATTTTTCAATACCAACACAATGAAGGCTTCTTATTATATTTCCGTTTTCTTTTCAACTTGTTCTTTTGGAGAAAAAATGTTATGGCAGAATTAGCAAAGAGTTAAAAATAAAACACTGCTTAGAGAGGATAACAAAGTGTTGTGCGAGACAATGTTTCCCGAATTTGTTGCAGCAACCACCAGCAGAGAGGCAAAAAGTTGTCATTGACTGATGCCAACAACACGCGGTGTTCCCAAGCGGTCCCCCATCTAAGTACTAACCGCGCCCGACGCTGCTTAATTTCGGTGATCAGACGAGAACCGATGTATTCAGCGTGGTATGGTCGTTGGCGAATGCTGAGTGTTGGAAACTGTGTTTTATGCTTACATTCCATTACCACTAGATTCAATACAAAAGTATCTTTGAAATATGCTGAGTTGTACCTGAACATTTACGTCCTTTCGCCCAAGAGCTAACAGTACCTGCGTTTTTTTTTATAAACAAATTAAAAGCTGTGGGCCTTTCTTTCTTTGTTTCTTATTTTAAACAGTAATTGTTCGCAAATAAAGTGTTTGCAAAGTAAAGCAATAAATAACAATGGATTGTTTAAACTTGTTCACTTACTTCAGTTTTCATTTTAGCTCTGCTTAGTGGATAGGATGCGATAGGTTTCCTCCCGAAATTGTTGCAGCAACCAGCAAGAGCCAAAAAGCTGTTTTTTACTGATGCCTACAAGAACAGGCGTTGTTCCCAAATGGTATTTTCTTTTAGAAGGCCTTTGGCCAAGTGCCGATTTATTGGTGGAGAGAGATTTTGCCAATTAAATTAACAAAATTAAATTTTTAATTCTCAGATCTGTTTCTCTCTTTCTCTTTGACTGCCGCAGGGACCCCGTTATTTCTTTAATGTAGTTTACAAAGCTGCATATTCTCTTATATTCCTTTTCTATTATTTACACAGTCTCTAAATAGTTACTTTTATTTGCTTATTAAAGGCGTATTTTCAATAATTTACTTCAAACAAAATACATACATATGTATATACATAAATATGTATTAAAATGCGCCTAACAGCTGTTTCCACTTTGCCAGCTCTGAATTAGTGCAGCCCTGGAACAGCTGCTTTGCGCGTTGCCAACCAAACGCGGCTCGTATTGATTTATTTGACGGCTCGTGGGTTTTTGAGCATAACTTGTTTGGCTAATGTTTGTGGTCATTGCAGGATTATTAGGTTAATTAAGGATAAATAAAACTTGCTTCCTGCATTGAAATGTTGCGGCAGGAGAACTTGGCGGCTAACTTCTGTGGGCTGCTGGCCAGCCAGGGTCATAAGGGTGCGTGAAATTACAATTTATATTGTGTCCCTGAAAAAGTAAATTTTTTTTATTTTAACGTTTGATAATTGTGCACAAACAGTTATTTTTGTTTATAAATGTACATAAATACATAAGTAACAGCCGACAACTGTTTCCCAAATCCAATATGAATTTTTCTTTTAATAAAATTTGCTGAAAATGTTTCGTTATTGGATTGTTATAATCAAGTGTTATGATTTTGTTTGATTGAGAGATCATTTAATTTATTCATTTAATTTCTATGCGTCTTCTATAATACCCTAATATATTCGGAAAGCTCCATTAGAAAGGGAGCACTATAACATGTAGCTTCCATATGGCTTAACAACATTTATTTAAGTTGTCGGACTGTATGTGAGGGGATCTTAATAGTTTTAAATTTAATTTGAAAAACTTTCAGAAAAAGCCAATGAATGGCGCATTGTAGGCCAGGAGAGGGACGGCTCGCTGCTAACATCCTGGATATTCGAAAACTTGGAGCAGAGCACTCATGAGACTTGCATAGGCCGCTTCGATGTCACAGAGAAGTTGTTGCGTGTGCTGTGGCGACTGCCGGGCTGCGTGGAAGTCATTCAGGCTAGTGTCAATAAAAGTGTCACGCTGATGTCCTATGTGTTGAAGAAGCGCGAGCAGGTGGAGGACGAGGCGGAGGGTAAACAGTTGTCGGCCGCAGCCAGAGCCGCACAAATCTATCAGGCATTTGTGGTGGAAGTCCGGAGCAGCGATGGTGGCACACCCAGAGCTTTGGGCGAAGGGACGCGTCGACAGGTGATGACGCAGTTCCTGTGGCACCAACAGGATACAACGCGGCACTACTGGCAGGATAAACTACTGGTCCTAACGCATGAGGATTGTAATTACAATTTGTATGCAACTTTTTGTGCACATTTGTAATCACTTTATTTTCTTTGGCAGCCATCAAAATCTACAAATGTGTGGTAGCGGAAAGCTCCTATTTGGACGTAAACAGCTGCGCGGACTCTGCCTGGAAACTGGACACTAGTCTGCTTACATACGAAACGCTGGCCAAGCGATTTAGCTGGGCACAGTGGGATGCGGAATGCCAAGCGCTTTATTACATACATCTTAAGCCGAAGGCGAAAAGCCTCAGTTTACTGGACGAGCGTGAGGAGCAGGAGGAGCAGGCAGAGCAGGTTTTAAGTCCCACACTGTCGGCGTTTCAGTTCAACGAAAAGGAGCCCACGGAGACGGTGGTAAGTGGGCCCAAGCCTGATTTTTAGAGGAATCAACTATCATAAGCTTTGTCTTAGCTGAGGTGATGAATAATCTCATTGAAAATTCCAAATTATCTTTGGAACTTCAATTGAAACGTTTTGACTCAAAACTAAATTACGCTGCTGAACGTGTCAACCCGATATCCGAACTAAGATGCTCTATTTTTTGCGAATTTAGGCTTCAGTTTTCACATTTCCACAATTATCAATTAGCTTTAAAGCAAGAGTGGGAGATAGGGGGAGTTTGAGGATCCACATACAATCTTTTATACCGTCCTGGTATTCTTTTTGAAATATTCCTTACCTTATCTTTCTTCAGTTGCTAAGAATCCTTTTACAGCATTAACTAATCGTGGGAAATATTAATTCCCATCCACTCCTTATCCAAATAAGTGCTTCAATTGCTCATCAAGCAACATCAAATTTAATTCTTTTAAACATAAACACTAAACATAAATCCATTTCTTGTAAATCTTTCTCAGCTAAACATACCGCTGAACTTGCCGCAGCTGCCCTGCGGAGCCACAGATGACGACCCCACCTATGATGACGATGCGGTGCCGCTGCGCGTTCACGATAGCTCGCTGAACCTCATCATTCTGACCGATGAGTCGGGCATGTTCTTTGTGTGTCACTACTATTTGTATCAGCCCATACAGCCGAAGAATGTGGACGAGCTGGGCGGGTCCAGTGGCTTTGGCGGCAGGCAGCAGGTGGATGTCCATTTCGCCTATTCAGTTACGTTGCTGCACCACGGCTGTGTGGTGCACTGTGTGATGCCAGGCGTGCCGTGGGAAAAGGCGCGTCTGCTGAAGCCTACTTTTGCTCTGCATGGAGCGCACCATTTGCTGGTCTTCCAGCCCGACTTGTTTGTGCATTTGTTGGACGTGGGACTGACGCATGAGCCGAACTGCCACATTGTCTGCCCGGCCCATAATCGTAATCCGCTTAAGCAGCTGGTGCCCTTGCACAAATGGGGCGGCTTGGCCTACGATGTGGCCAGCTTGGATGTGGTTTCATTGTCTGTGCCGCGTGGCCATCTCATCGATGCGTTTCGCACAGACAGCTCGCTGGATAATCGCATCAGCATCATACACTACTTTCTGGTGCACTCAAACGATCTGGATGTGTTGGCCGGGCTGTTGAGCAATATTTTGGAGCGCGCTCTTTCGCTGGATACGGTGGCTTTGCTGAAGGAGGCGCTGGTGGCCGGCAGCTATGCTGCTGCCTTGCGTGGTTTGCCCAAAGATGCCAAGCCTCTGACGCGTCTGCTGCCACTTACCACGGCGGTATCCACGCGCTCGATGCAGGCGCGCGTCGCGGACATCAACGTGGGACTTTCGCATGAGTCTCTGCACAACACCAGCATGATGCTGCTATCGCCCCAGCAACGGCTGTCATCCTTCCGCCAGGATATTTGGACGCGACTGTGGGAGCTGCTCAATGAGTCGGCAAAGAAGGAACAGCCGCGTTTCACAGCCGAACAGGTTACTGAGAAATTAATGTTCTCACTGGCCTGCTATCAGCCGGAGGCTTTGTCGCGCTGCTCCACACCGCTCTCACCAGATGCTTGCGGCGGATTTGGCGACTACGGCAACGCCGTTCCCTTCTCCAACGAAGTGCTGCCCTTCATTGAGCAGGAAACCTGCACGGCATCCAAGCAGGAGCACGTCATATCAGTGGTAAGTGTGTGGTAATAGTAACTAATATGTTTTCTATTTTAATCACGAACTAATGGTTGTAATTGAAGTAACATTTTATTAGCGACATTCCTGTGAAATTCACAAAATTGATGTGCACTCTATTTGCCTGTATAGGAGTTTAGAACCATCTGCTGAAGATTCTCTATTTAAATATAATATAAGATGACATGAGATATGTGCATCTGCTGAAGATTCTCTATTTAAATATAATATAAGATGACATGAGATATGTGCATCTGCTGAAGATTCTCTATTTAAATATAATATAAGATGACATGAGATATGTGCATCTGCTGAAGATTCTCTATTTAAATATAATATAAGATGACATGAGATATGTGCACCTTACAAACCTTCCCCTCCCTTTGTTTTAAATACGAACCAAACGATATACAATATTTGAATATTTCCCAACTGAAGATACAGACATTTTAAATATATGTTGGAAGAAAGAAGCCGTGAGCGCACTCATTTTTTCAAAATACGCATAGACTTCGCTTAACACGACCCCTTTTAACACGAACTCGGTCTAACACGATTAAAAATTTGCTACCTTTTCTCTCTTAGAAGTTTAAAACCATGAAAAAAAAGAAGCTTAACACGAGGTTCTTAGGAACGCAAACCCCTAGGTGTAATCATCCCCACTATTTTTCCCCTCATCGAGTTGGGGAAATAGCTGTTGAGTAAAGTCTTCCGATTATATACATATATATATAGAGGATCGTGGTTTTTCATTCATTCGTGGTTGATATAGATTGTAGATGTTGTACAAATTTGGAACGATCAGCAAATGCTTAAATGGACAAGTAATTCGTAAATGTAATATAAATTATTCAATTCTAAAAGTCGAGCTGAAATTCAGACAATCTCTCGGGGAAGTTGTTAAATTTTAAAAACAAATACATTAAATGTAAACTACATATCCCTCTTTTAAAAGTAAAATCTGAGATATAGAAAATTGGTAGTCTTTGCAGACATTCGTATAATTAGAAGAATACAACGCTTCTTTATCCTTTCTTCTTACCTTGCTTCTTAATCCTTTTTTTTGAGTCTTAGAAGTAAGATTTTATAAAAGGTTCAAACTATTGGATGCCAATTTAATTATTAAATGTAGATAACATCCAAGCGGACCAAAGTTACACTTATTTCAAAGCCGTAGATCGAAGACCTATTCCATCTAGAAAAGTCAACAAAAAGTGAAATACTATTTTTTTTTAAGATTTATAACTAGATATATAGTACAGTAGAGTCTGAATGCAGTCTTTATTGATGATAAATATCTTTGCTCATTTCAGTATCTGCGGGAGCTGAGCGTCCATCTGGTCAAGCACTCGTCCAAGCCCAACACCGGCTTTCGTTGGCTCAAGGAAACGTTCTTCGAGCGCTCCCAAGCCCCGCATGTGCACGCCGTGGCTTCGAAGTATGTTACCTCCCAGCTGGAACTTTCACGCGCTCTCTGCTCGTTGGTCTGTCGCGCCTCGGGTGTAGATGCCCGCATGGAGACTTTGCGGGGTTTTCAGTTAATGTAAGCAGCACCCTAGTTAGTTATCCAACAATTTCTTACAAGTACCAACACTTTCCCTTTGTTTCCACGCACATCAGCGATAAGATGTCCAATAGCCAGCAGTATTCGCTGTTCCTCGTGCTGGAACGTTATTGTTTGGCCGTCGAGTCTATTGCTTTTCCGTTACCCGAAGGCTTTTCTTCGTTCTTCACCTACTTGGGTTATCGCGCGTTGGAGTTCCACATGTTCCTGCAGTATGTGGAGAATCATGTTTTCGAATTACAGGTCGATGTCATGAAGAGCATTATCTATGGTGAGTTCTTTTTCGAGTTTGCTTTGAAACCTTGTGCTGAAATTGTGTTCCTTTGCAGATATTGACGATTCGACGACGGGAATTGATCGCAAGTTGTCCCTAATTTCCTGCCTTCCCAAACAACGTGCTCAGCGTTTGCTCAAGTGCTGGAATCATCCAGAGAGTCTCATGATTCGTGGACGCGAACACGCAGCCAATATCTTATCGGGCCAACAGGAACAGCAACAGCGCAATATCACTCAAAACTTTGCGCAATCGCGCATGAACGCCACAAGTGGTGAGTCTAAATAATTCTATCAATCAGTGTGGGGGAAATTTTAGCCCTAAAAAGAGGGCTCATATATAAGGTTTAGTCTTGAATATCCTGCTTTATAAATAACGCCTTCATGACCGACGCCAAAAACTGTAGAATATCTGGAAAGACTCATAATCACAGACTTGGAACAATCCCAGTGTTTGTTATAAATCAAAGGCTACCCGCATAGTAGTTTGATTTGGAAAGTCTGGAAGAAGATAACTCAATAGCATCCAATCATCTTTCAAGAATAAGTTGAAAAGAGAAATATTACCTTCATATCATCATCTATATTTAATTAGTTTTGAGCTCAACATAGTCCATAGAGTAAATAGATAAATATTGTATTTTCCCTTTAACAATTTTCGAAGGTATGAAAAGATATCTTCATCATATTTTCCATTTTTTTATTTTATTTTTTATACAATATTTATAAAAAAAAATAAGTTCTTAACCTACTTAAAATTTAGAACTCTAGCTGCCAGGGCTTTCAGCTCGTTTTTTCCCTTTTTTAAATATCAATAAAAATGATTAAAACACATCAATTGTTCATTAAACGTAATTTTCTAAGAAAACTGAATCCAAAAAAAACTTATCGGCTCTATTAGTTTCGAATTTCTATGCTCAGCTGGCGTAGGCATCGTAGATACCAAAAGTGTCTCCGATTTTATTTTATAAAAATATAGACTTAGTAAAATTCTAGTTAAGTTATTTATATTCTTCTCAGCATGTGTATTTGTTTAATTATTTATAATTTATTTATCATTTTATAATTTAATTTTGTTTTAATTTTGATTTATTTCATTAACAAACCCATTTCCATAGCTCTGGGAAAGCCCAACACGGTGGTTTGCCACACCCTGCTCTTGGTTTTTCTGCTCCTCCTACTGACCACATTTATTTTTAGTATCGCACGTTTCATTTACGACAAACAATCGCACACTATATGGTAAACATATGGTATAGAAAATCATATCTAACACACTCATCAATTGGTAAGCGCTGCTTAGTGTTTGCCTCGCACGTTAACTTTTGAATAGCTACAAAATCTTGAATTCATTCAACTTTTCTTTGCTTTGCAGATATGGCGGCAGAAACTTTAACTCCATTGGACTCGTTTCTCGACTTGTTAACAGCAAAGGCCAGCCTAGCCGAATTGGATTATAATTTGTTGATTGAGACAACGCTGAGCTCCATGGATCAGCTGGAACTGAAAGTGGCCCGAAAAAAGGCTCAAGAGGCGGAGAAACAAACAGCTTCCATTTAAAATCTGGTATACTTGTAACTGTATTTATATAGTGTGTAACGATTTAGTATTATAAGTCAGCGAAAGTCTAGAGTTCTTTTACTACTTATAAAGAAACATTGAGAAACATACCGATTGATATTAAGTAACTCTCTTATAACATTTAAAGCTATAAATCTGTATCTTAATGTTCCACTCTTTAAGTGTTAAGTAACGTTTTGTATTTTGTATTTAGTATTTTGAATAGGCTTTCAAACTTATCGTGGAGGCTCAACAACAGGAAACATTTCTAGTAATTTATGTAAGAGTCTTAGGTATTTTGTGAGCATAAAGTATTACTCATGCCAGTTATATATTAAGAGAACTTATAATTAACTTACATATAATCGACTTCAACCAAAGTACATATTTTGTTTCGAAAATATGAATCTAGCATTCCTATTATATATAGTAAAGCTTATAAAAGTTTATGGTGTTATTTATTGTAATCTTTTTAATATTTTCTGTATTATAATGATTATATTATGTATTATATGCTCCGTTTACGTACAATCCTTAGTTTATAAATGTAATTTCGATATATTTATTGTTATTTATGTCGCTTTATACAAAATTGTGTTGTTATTAATTGTATGTTAAAAAGGTATTACCTTTTATAATATTATGTATTTAAACAATCCATTAAAATAAGACGTCAAGGCCTGAGAGAATCTGAAGATTTCTAAATTGAAAGAGTGGTGTCGAAAAGGACTCTTATGTACGATAAGTCGTTTTGAAGAATCAAGCAAGTCGTGTGTAAGAAATATATACATTTTAGTGTTTTGAAAAGCTTGTTGCGTCTTTTTTCAAAACAGGGAATTAAAGATCGTTGAAATAGCTATTATGTAAAGAAGCTATATGAAGTTTCTCAAAATGGCTTTCCTTTGTGCTGTGTTTCTTAAATAGTTTAAGTTAAGCTAATGGATCAATTGATTTTTTAAAATCTAAGCTCAAATAAATTCCCAAATAACACATAATTACAATAAACTTTTTTAACTTTCTATTTGCCAAAGAATTACATTAAGATATAAAATAGGGAGCTCAAAGCCAACATTGGCTTTTAAATAACTCAGCTCCATCGTTTTCAGATTAATAAGCATGTTTCATTTTCGGTAACTAATTAAAATCTCCAGTCCCATTTGATGTGATTTCACTAACTTTGAAGCAAATATAACCAAACTGTTTTAATATTTATCCAAAAATTGGTTTTCCTCGTATCTTTGAAGTAAATATTTAAAATATGGTATATGAATTGGGTTCAGTATATGTAATAGGCATATTTTCCAATATTTCGAATATTTTAAACCATAATATTTTTCTATCTTACATATTTCTGCTTGCTTCCCTTAGGCTATTCTAATTTATGAAAAATCGGTCATATTTTTTAGAAGTGATTCAAAAATTGTAATTTCTGGTATAAATTTTGATCAACATTTTCAATATTTCTCCAGAGGCTATCAATTTAATATATTCAGTGAATTTCTTCTTTATGGACAAGCTTTTCATTTATTATTTCACATAAAAACTATTTATAAAACCAGTCGTCTTTTTAATAATATCCTGGAACCATTCAAAGGGCACAAAAAAGGAAAGGATGGAAATTATTAACGTTTTCGTGAAATGCCGAAGAGGTATTGTTCTCTAAGAAATGTTTCTCAAACTTTTTGCAACAAAATTGGAAATTGGTTCTTTTTATTAATTGCTAATCAGGCAACTCCCTAAAAGCAATTTCTGACCTTAGGAGTCCGCCCAACAATGCAATTTAAACTAAATTTTGTGTTCCTCCATCATTAGCGGGCTTTTCCCTTAACTATCGAACAATTTTTAAAATACCTTTTGATTAAAAAATGTCCGGATATTGCAAAAAGAAACACTTTAAATGGATTTATATATATATAAAAATCACACGTAGCCCTTTTTGATGAATTTGTGGCCTTTGTATGCCTATGTTTTGGAACATATAGCCACCCTTGAAGAACTTCCGAAACACTTTATTAAAATCAGCACAGAAAAGTATATTTCAAGCGCAGTATTTCAAACAAATTCATATAATCACGCTTTCTTCCGTTATATTAATCGAAAAGGGTCTCTGATTTTAATGAAATCCAAAGGTAACGCCTTCCACAAGAAATAGTTTCCTCTGTTCAACAGGCAACCACAAGTTGATTGCATTTCCCCTCTAACGTCATCCAAACTGTTATACACTTCCCCTTATTTGTACAGCTACTAGTTTAGTGCAGAAGTTGCCCGCCAGGAGGCGCTGACAGTCCGTTGATGCCCACCACCACCAGATGTTCGCATGCAGTTCAACGTCTGCCAGCAGCAACATCATCCACAATGGCTCTCTCTCTGCTGCGTGGCCGCCTGCATTGGATGCCGCTTCGTGTGGAACCCAAGTCGCTCAATGCCAATATGTTTGTTATCCAGTTGACAGTTTGTGGAAAATCGTCACGGTGCGCGCATCAACGAAGATTCGTTACGGAAGGAAACGCAACACACACAACACTCTGGAGTGTGTTGGAGAATTGTCTTTTGTGGTTGTCCCGAAAGTGCAGTGCCGCGTAATTCGAATTGGTTGAGAAATGTGCGCATAAATCGTTCCGACTCAGTGCTAATTGAATGTCATAAATATTATGAAAATTGTTCAATTTTTGAAAATGCGCGCCATTTGAAAGTCAGGAAGCGAAGTGCAACCAAATAATAATTTATTTAAATTAGCAACACCAATTGTTTAGTAAACAATCGAAAAAGGCCATAACAACGAACTCAAAGTACTGAACAGAATGGCGAACATGAGAGCCAACCTCACGATTGGATTATTTCTAATGCTGCTGACCAGCGGCCAAACGCATTTCAATATCTATCTGAATCTGCACGAGGTGTTACGCCTAATCGGTGAGTGTCTGATCAATAGTCTTTACATATAAATCGGTCTTTACATATAAATCAGAAATTATGCAGCGCTGGTGTTGAAAGCTGCGGGTGCGGCAGGTTTATAACAACTTTTTATTTTCTTAAGCGCCTTCAAACAGTGCTGCACAAAATTATTGCCATACCATTACTATGTATTTAGAAAGATTTTCAATTGGTATTGGAAATACATATTATATTATTTCATGTGCATTTATGGGCAGTTTGATAAATGAGATTTTGAATATTAGTAAAACATTTTTAAAAAATGATGAATTCATTCATATTTAGTTGGAAATTTCAGTAAGTTGCGAGTTGTTTCCTTGATAAATGGTACTAATTTTAAAAATGAATTTGGTTATCAATTATGAATTAATTAATACCGATTTAAGATGAATTTGATTTGGGCGTGCCATTAAATCTAGCCTCTATAGTTAATTTAAAAAACGGACTACCTCTTTAAATCCTTATCGTTAAAACAGATTCGTTCAAACTTGCTTAGCTTGGGTTTAAGATGCATTTTGCTGATTTTTGTTGTAGACAAGCATATTTAACTAAATTCAAGCCGACCTAATTTTCTGAACATCATTTGAATTAAATGATTCGGCTCTCATTGAATTTTGTTGCATTTAAACAAATTGCCATTATATTAAATGATACTATATAGTATAGGCAGACAATCCGATAAAGTTATTTCTTTCAGTCTGGTTTCAATTAAAAGTGTTTTAATGTTAGTTCTTACAAACAAATGTAACAATTGTGAATATTTAGAAAGCAGAGTCAACATTATAAATACTTTGATTACCTTTATTAGGCTTAATTTAGTCTTGGAGTTTTGCGTCCATAATTCTTTCCTGCTATTAAAATAATGCTGTCTATTGTATATTATTATATTTTAAAAAATAATCTCTGATTATTTGGAAATATTTTAATTTGTAGAAAAAATTGCATTAAAACTGGGTGTATTAGCTCAAAAATAATATCTGATTTATAATATAAATAAATAATAAAACAATACCATTTAGAAACCATCCTCAGCGTTACATTTGACAGTAAATGGTAGTCTTTATTACTTAACTATATTATTTGTGAATCCACAACTGCTTGCTGTGCGCATAGTTTTGTGCAGCACTGTCTGTAACTTCCACCAGTTGGTATTCAACTTGTAGGTGGACTTTGCATAAATTTGGGCATTCAATTATACGCCGTTTGATGCATAGCTCTTAAATTAGCATACAAATTAGCAGCGATCATTAGTGGGCTTTCGGGGAGATCTACACAGGTCTTCAAAGTCTGTCCAAATATGGCATAATCGCCTGGGACCAAGCCCAAAGCCAAAGATTTATGTGCAATATGTCAAATGTTGAGATATTTTGAATATTTACATTTCAAAGCTGCCCTAAGCTAGACCTTTTTCCTTATCACGCTGTTGACACTCGACAATTGAAACCAAATCTAATCACAGACCAGTGCTAATTTGCCGAAATAGTAAGCATTCAATAGGTGTTGAGATCATCTTAGGTTATCTACAGAATTTCCAAATAATAGCGCACATTAAAATATATATTGTATATTTCTAAGAATTGATAATTATAAATTTGTTTTTAGAAGTAAATTTGCCTGATGTCCAGAAAACGTATTTGGGAGAGAAATATATTTGGGAAAGAAATCTGGTAAAAGAAAAAAGTAGCTTATCTTTTAGATAATGGGTTTTCATATTTTGGGAGCAAAATCTAATATTTCCTGCAAAGAAAAAAAATAACATTCTTCAATATTTAATAAAAACTTAAAAATATAATTAATTTCCTGGTATTGAGATTTGTACATTTATTTTTTTAGCTTACCTATCTAATTTTTTGTAAAGAATAGGAAAAAAATATTTTTTGACATATTAAGGTCTTTTTGTTTTCTAAAAATAAATCTGTTATGATAAAAACACTTTTTTTTTAAAGCTACATTTTGAATTTGAAAAGTTTTCAACAAAGTTATAAATCAAATTTGCTGATTTCCTAAGACTTTTTTAGGTTTTTGAAATCTATTTAACACCAAAATTATTTATCAAATTATCTTATTTTCAAGCTTCATTGCTTTTCAGATCATACAAGTATTTTTGTACATATAAGAAAAGAACCTTGTTCTTAACACCAAAAATATTCTATTTTAAAAATAGATAGCCTTCGACAAATAATTTTTTTTGCGATTAAATATTTTATTTATCGAGATTATGTTTTTTAAAACAAGCTCTCTGCCAAGGGCGATTTTGTGCATTGTTTTTAATGTGCCTTTTATGATTAAGTAGCTGGATGAACTAAGATAAAAATTCATTCAATAATCTCCGAAGAAGCCTCTAAAAATCTAGCTTATCTTTCTCAAGAAGTCACAACTTTAATTCTCTCAGATTTTCACTTTTTACACTCGGGCCAATGCCCTATTCTGAAGGGTCATCAGAAATTTGTTTTACGATCATATGCTGCCAAAAAATTTACAACCTCCTGCTGTTTAAATAGGTTCTGTTTCTAGACTATAAAATTCAAAAAAGGCATATACTCGTAGTAGCCATATAAATCAGTGGCAGCAGGAGTAGAAATCTATGTCGCCTCATAAAACAAATGCAAAGTGTTGAAGTGTTTGTTTTCCCAACGCCAGCAGAGATATGAAAAATTATCAAAAATTATGTTGTAAAAAGAAGAAAAATTTACAGCCCGTCCGCTGGCTGTGCAAACAGGGCCAAGTGATTGATGACCGACTATGAGGAGCGCATATACATATGTACCTTCATACGAGTATAGTGCATGCTCGTAGGTCCGGGGCTGGCTATAAAAATAGTTCGGTTGTGGCAGCGTCATTTGTGAATAACTGTGTAAATATTTGAGTCGCTTCGGCTTATCACCACAACACACCATCTAGAGGGGGAGTGGGAGTGGGAGGGGTCTGACGCCCGCTAATCAGGCGCTTATCTAGCAGCTATCACAATTTATATCTTATTTGCCACAAGTGGGTGATATATCTGACATGTGGGGTGTTAAGGGCAACACCTCAATGCTCTTAAATAAAGTGCATTCCAAATGGCTTTCAAAAGTATGTAAGAAATTAACTAATTTTTAATTGATTAGTTAATATTTATAAATAAAAAAGGTTTCTATATTTAGAATGGTGTTTTTGAAAGAGTGTGTGGAGATAATACTTAATGGTTCTCAAAGGATAGATTCCAGATAGTACGTGCAGGGCTAGGGGCAACATAACAGCTATCACGATCTACATATAAATAATAACAGTAACATAACATTAATTAGTTTTACATTTATAAAAAAAATATAAAAACATATATGCTCTTAAATGAAGCGTTTTGCAAATGGTTATTGTTTTAAATAAGATATTTTCGAATATCTGAAAATATTTTATTTAATTTCAGTAATGTCTTACAAATGAGAGGATCCAATTCGAATAATAATAATATATTTTTAAATTTGAAGAATGATATTCAAATGAATGGCTTAATTTAAAAAAAAACTTTAGAAAAATGTCCAAATACTCCGTTAGTTAAAGATAATAATTAATTAATAATAATAAAAATGCTAATTAAATTTCAAATGAAAGAAGAAATGTGTGACTAATTCGATTTCTATTGCTATTGCGAGCTCAATTTTAATTTTAACCTTCATCTTTGTCTCTCAACTACTACTACTAAAATCCCAATATTTTTACTGAGCATTTATTTGATTCGACAAGTCAAAGTTCCAATATGTCTAGAAAAACAAAAATAATGCATATTTTTCACAAAGTAAAAACTAGTAATATTGGAAAAAGGAAAACAACTAATTTCCAATGTTTCATTTGGGCATGGCATGTTGAATGAAAATAATAATTTATTTATAGTAAAAGACTATTTGTAAAATGACAGTCAAAATAAATAATAAATATAAATATAAAATATTTAAATGATGCACATATTTTTGTGTTTTTAATCAATTTTCAATTTTTTCCATTAAATATTTCTAATATAAATTTAAATTAAACTATTTATATTACTATTTCTCTTTTGGAAATGTCGCATGTGTTAATTTTGTTTTTAAGAACATACAAAAGTCGTTATTAGCATTGTGGGGGCTTTACAATTACAGTTACTTTTACAATATAGTTTGTGTTTGTTCTCTATATGGCTTATCTCAGCGCCGGACTATCAATCGGAGCCACACTTCACTGTTCAGTTGTCAGTCGTTCTGAGACTTAGAGTTTCCACTTGACGGCTCTGCTGGCAATTGTGACAATATTGCGGGTTAATGGTGATCCATCATAGGCATAGAAATTTATTGGTTATGTCAGTTGTGTGTCAAATTTAAAACCATTATATGGCTAAGGTGTCCAACTTTTTCGTTTGCCAGCCCCGCCACCCTCTCTAATTACAGAGCGCTGACAGCGTTGGTTGCACACCTGACCTACTTTTTTCGACTTTCCAACTGGCAGTAGGTGTCATTTTTTTAGCGGTTAGTTCAAAAGGTTGCATGTGACATATGTGTGTGAGTGTGCGTGTATGTGTGTGTGTGTGTGTCTGCACATCAATTAAATTGTCAACAGCTACAACAACAAAATGGCAGGGGCAAAAAAATATAGAGAAAAGTTTTGTGCTCGTTAGTACGTTGCCTTCTGCGTTGGAGTGCGTTAAAAGGATGTGCCAGTTTGCAGTTGCCTGCCAGTCGCTCCATACTATACTATAAACCATGTCAGGGACTATATCGGTGAATGGCGGCGATAGTTGGACGGCTCGTTAGTGCATGCTATAAAAAAATAATAAACCATTGCGTTTTAAATGAATGACCAGCAGAGAGTAGAGAGCTCTGAAGAGCTCTACAGATTAGAGGTCGATCCTCATGTTCATCAATGGGTAGAGCTTATGAGTTGATATTTGAGAAATAGACAGTCCGAAAATTGACTACGAATCGAAATATCTCCTTTTTCTTATACTGACTTAACAGTCAGACCTAACG